GGGATCAGAGGAGAGGACAAGATGTTCTGGTAGGAATAAACTTGGCTTCTAAGAAAACAGGCAGAGATGAGATCAGCAGCAGCAAAGCAACAGCAGCTTGGGTGCAAAGGGCAAGGGGTACATTCCCTGTGTCAGTTTAGGAAGGGTCCGTGATGAAAGGCAAGCAAGACCCTGCCAGAGCATGGTAAACCCTGCCATGAGCTAGAGCCCCAGAAAAAGCAGGGCTTTCCAGCCCCCCCAAGGCCAGCAGCCTTCACATCACAGTTGTGCCTTCATTGAGATGAAAAGACATGTGATGGCAACACCAGCAAAGCTCTCCCGAGGCCAAGAGAGTGAACTTGGAGCAGGAGACAGCCACGTGCAAGAAATAAACAACTCTGGTTCTCCATCCAGAGAGCAAAAATAGTCAGTTTTTCCCCCAGGCCGGAGCGCGGGGTCAGCTTCGTGCTGCAGCGCCAGCGACGGGCCGCCCGCCCGCAGCACAGGGCAGCCCTTGTCTCACCCGTGCCAAAAGCCCTGCTGGCGCCGAGCTGCCAGGGCTCCCCCCCTGCACTTTTCACACCAACCCCCCCCCTCCCCGTGCCCAGCCTGTGCACATCCCTCACTGAGGCTGCTCTGCACCAAAACCCCAGCCCGGGGCCACTCGCCTGGCTGGTCGGCAGAGCGAGAGAAGGGCTTTCCCCTCGTGTGCTTTCGGTCCTGAAAGGCTTTTCTTTAATTGCACGCACGATTGGAAAAGGTCAGATAAAAATCAGGAAAGAAGAAATGCCATCTTGCCCAGCCCCAGGAAGGGAAGGAGCCGTCCTCCCCCAGGAGCAGCACGGCCAGAGCCAGCACCTCGGGTGGCTTTGAAGGTACCGTGCCCAACAGGCACTCAGATTGGAAGAGCCACAAGGCAGAAAAAGCTTCCTGGACAATTCCCCTGAAGCATTTTCAGCTTCTCAACAAGAGCCTTTGGGAAAGGGAGAGAGATTGAACTTGCCGCCAACAAACTTGTTTTAAAACTCCTGGATAGAAGTTCAGTTTTCGATCCAGGGAGGAGGGGGGTGGAAGGAGTTCTAGAGAGCAGATTGCTGGCTCCCGTTATGGAAGCAAGCTTAATAAAATTCATAGAAATATTGGTGGTTCTGCTGTGCTGTGCCAAGAATGTGTTAGAATAAAACCTTCTGAGCAGAAGGGAGAGATATAATGTCATCTTAGCCTTGATATGAAAGATCAGCCTTCATCTCGTAAAGCATATCTCAGAGCAGTAACTAACACATTTACTTGCCTTCCCTCCAGAGCAGGTCCCTGCACAGCCTTGCTTCCACAGTCCATCACTGTCGCAGCCTTGTACGAATGGTTCTGGGATGCCCTTGGCGTGTAAAAAAGTGATATGATAAAAGAATAAAGAGGGAGGCATTTTTTCTTACTGGGGTTTTAACGCCACCCCAGTGCAACACAAATCAGCTCAGTGTCCTCCATGGGAAAGCTACATCAAGCTATTTTGGATTTCTTTAAAAAGACCAACCCTACCACACCCTGAGCCCATGAACCGATGTATCTGGCCATGCCAAGAGCTCTCTTCACCTCCCTCTTTCCTAACACAGCGTGCCAAAGCAACGGCCTCATGTTCTGCCACGCCAGCAAACAGAGCAGGGCACAAAGCAGACCCCCAGCAGAGCTGCAGCCAGCAGGGACCACATCCCACCTTCCAGTCCTGCTCCCTTTCCCCTCGAGCTTGCTCTGATGGCAACAGGAGGAGGGAGAGGAAAGCTCTCACTCGTTTCTCAGAGCTTATTTTGGGAATCAAGTAGCCAGACCCTTGGGACCAGAACTAGCTCTTTGCCTGGGTACTAATCCTCTTCCAAGGCTTTCTTTAGTCTCTTGAAATGCCCTTCAAACCTTGCCCTGAACTTGCAGGCTTACAGAGTTAACCACAACTAGGAAAAATGAAAGGCATGTGACGCTTGCCCCCTTCCCCAGATGCTGACTGCCTGTACCTTGAAGCTTGTGGCTTGGCTTGTGGCCTTAATGATCTGCAAGTCCATAGCTGTACCCAAACGTGGCTGCTGTCCCCTAATTAATAGGGTCCCTCTCAGCAATCCTTGCCTTGGTTATTGCCAATAACCCACCTCCCATTTTCCAACCTAAAGCCCTAGAAACCATTTGCAACCCTAGGAAAGGAGTTCTCTGCCTTTCTCCATCTGCACTCCTTCGAGGCAGGCAGCAACCCCGGTGGAGCCAGCTCCTTTATTCAAAACAGGCCCAGACTCTGACAAAGGGCTTGCTGGCGTGGACTCTCTTACCTTAACAAATTTGTTGTGTCAAATCTGTTTTAGCTTAGAAGGTAAAACAAAAACCTGCTCTGCCAGGACACCCACCCTCTGCGTGCAGAGAAGGGAACCAAGCCTTCCTTTCCCATCGCCAGCCCCAGCCAGGTCCATCCATCCCTGGGAGCGGAGCACAGACAGACACAACCCAGCTCCCAGGCTGAGAGGGGCTTTGCCAGGCTGCCCACAGCCAGGGAGAGAGAAACTCAGCGTCACCCTGAGCAGACGAGTCTGTCAACGCACACCAGCTGCGAGCTGGTACGTGGGAAGGTGCCACCTCCACAGCCTGACCATGACTGTACCAACAGGAACAGCTCGAGCCTCTTCAAGAGGTTCATCTTCTGCTCCGGCTCTCACAGCACAGAGATGCTCCTTCTAAGCACTGTTTGTTGAGTCCCAAAAGCCCGATTAGTGCTTGAACTTTTCCAAAGCCCAGTCCCTCCCTTCAATAGCATTAGTCATTCAGATGCTATTAGTATTCCCCCCTGCCGTCAATTGCATGTTCCTACACAGAGCCACGGGGACAGCCTCAGATCCTCCTCACACTCTGTAGTCAACAGGGGCTGCACACAGGCAGCTCAGTTATTGCCACCAAAACTACTGCAGCCACCCAAACAAGACAGCAGAAGAGAAAATAAGTGTCTGTGTCCTCAAAGAGGAGGAGGAGGACTGCCCAGACACTTCAGCAGACTCGAGTTTTTGGAGAAAACAACACTCTTCAGAGGGTGCACCAAACAAGTCAGAATAGTTAAAGCACAGAGGCTGAGAAATCTCCATCTTCAGGTTCAACGGACAGTGAGCAATGACAGAGGCACAGGGTGACAAGAAGAGAGGGAGGGACAACTTACTGAGGGTTGCCCAGAGCAACTTTCCAAGAAGCATCACCCTCCACCACCCCTGACCAAGCCCACGCCACAGGGCTGCTAACGAAACAGAATAACCCTGGGAGGAAGGAGCCAGTAAAAACAAGCCGGTGCTTTACACCCGTGGTGTAGCAGGAGCGTACGAGCGGGTCACAAAGCAGGGAGAGCAAATCCATGCTCTCCTCACTGCCTGGAAGCCAGGAGGTGCAGAGCCAGCACTTGACCTGGGTGTGAGAAACAAGCTGAAGGAGCCCACGGAGTCCTTTCTGAAATAAAGCCACGCTGATGTCGTCAGCTGGTAACAAAAGAGACCACAGCAGGAACACATATAGTGAAATATACTATTTTATTGCTGCACACATGCTTACACGTTTCTTCTTAAATATATTGTTGCTCTGATAAATTTTACAATCTTCTTAATTCAACAAGTGGATAGTAGTAAATAAAAAGGACAGAGGCAACAGAACACAAATAGGACACTAGCAACAGAAGAAAAATCAAAGGTTTTTTTAATTTTGTGATAAAATTATTTGCAGCAAGAATAAAGCGAATTCAAACCTAAGTTTTGTCCTGGCTCATCTTAGTGAGAGCGTTTCCCTGCATGCTGGCCATCTGCTTATGCATGCTTTTTGATAGCCCTATTTTGCCAAAAGGGATGAGGGGGGGGTGGGGGGTGGGGGGTGGTGGTTAAAGGACCCCGAGTAATTGGACAATGTGACAGGGCTCACAGATGCGACCACTCAGTGCACGTGGGCAGATGCGGCGATTGCTCAGGAACTGGGCTACCAGGGAAGCAGAGCAAAGGCCACACGGACCTTTCCTCCCACGTGCACAACCCCAGCCACACTTGCTCCACACTTAAGGATGCAGGGATGGAATTATGCAGGAGCAGCCGTATGGAAAACGCTGCCCGGCACCGCTGCCCCTCCTCTGCCTCCCTCCCGCCTTGCCCACTCCCAGTGTCCGTTTTGCTTTAGCAGCTGAGGCATCTGCAGGGAAAAGCATGAGCACATTCCTCGGTAATCCCATCCCTGCATCTCGCCCAGCACAAGGAGAAGGCAAAGGCCACGTTCTGTTCTCTGGTGGCTCCCTGCATGCCTTGTGCGGGGCTGTCACAGCCACTGCTGTGGAAAGCTGACTGCTGAGATGTCAGATGCGGAATTTATGCAGGAGGAGCAGAGGGGATGAGATAAAGTAAACATCCTGCTTACATGTTCAGTATCATCTTCAGCCATATAGGGAAGAGAAAGGCAGGGGAACAGCTGGGTTAAGCTGTCTGTTGTCTCTGTAGCAGGCTTTCATGAACCTGACACTCCACTGAGCAAGAAAACAGGCAGTTCTGCTTTCACCCTTCTTTCTCCAAAATATATGGGACTCCATATTAAAGACTTCTCAATAGCTCTTCCCCTCCTCAAGTCCACTGAGATGCCTTTATGAGTTCAAGTTGTGCTGGGCTCTTTGGTGGTCCTGCCAAAGCCACACCAAGCTTAGAGATGGACATGGAGGTACATTCCACAAATCATACAACAAATACACAGCTCCTCTCCATGTCACCACCCCAAACAGAGGCACACTCCTGCTCCTCCCTCCCTGCCTCCACACAGCAACACACCCCTGCAGGGATGCATCCTCTTCCCTCACCCTAACACGGCTGCAGAAAACAAACTACCAACAACTCCTTGCACTTCCTCACAAGCATCTAAAGACAGAAGAATTGAAGCCTTCCCTGCTTGAATAGCCCTGCAGCCACCATCCTCTGCCCCAAAGAGACTTGTTCTGCAAAAAAAACCACAGTTAAAACAGATGACAAAGTGCACAAGCATCTGGTGTGCAGTTAAGTCAATGCACCCCCCAGCTCTGTCCCCAGCTTCTGTTAAGTGCAACTCAATCCTGACATGATTTTGCCAAAGTCCAGCTCCTCTCGAGCACAGCAGCCAAATCCCAGTGCTCCCTTCTCACTGCACCCAAACCCAGCCTGCCCAGTGCAAGTGGTGCCCAAAGCCTGCCCACGGACACACAAACAACACATGCCAGAAACGGGCAGACACTCGGAGCAGGGGCAGCGAGGCTGCAGTTCACACAGGGTGTGGGAGCATCAGTTTCTTATTTGGTGAGATTAGCAGAGAAACCCATCGTCCCAGTACATCCACACCTGTAGCAAGTCCCTGCTAAACACTGGATCTCCAAATCCTTTCCTTATCCACATGAAGCACCACTACAATTACAGAAAACACCACCTTGAGGCTGAAGGGGATCCGTGCCCAGTTCCCACTTCAAACACTAAAAGCACCCCCGACAGGGATTATTTCAAGCTCTCACCTCACAAAGTGACCAAAATGACGATACAGATTAGCAACGGCAGCCACTGCCTGTGCAAGATTCCCTCTGTGCTTCATACAATGCCTCTTCTCCCTCCCAGCTCTCAGCACAGCAAAGTATGCCTTGCCTTCACCCTGGAGACCCAAGCCTCTCAGAACATGCCATTCTGTTTGGCCAGGCAAGCTTTATGCAGGGGTATCGCCTGCCGACTGGTGCCAAGGAGAAAGAACATTATTACCCTCATTACGAGTTTAGGGAGATGACACGAGATAACGAGACCTACTGCAGAACACAGATTCAAAAACATTCATTAGTACAAACAGTGAATTTCCTGGAGAACAATGAAGCTACGAGGCTCAAGGCTGAGCAAAGCCAGAAGGTCAATGAGTGGGACAGCTGCCCTGCAAGAGACCCCAAATGCCCCTTTTCCTTCCAAAAATGATTTCCGGTGACCCCTCTTCCCTGACCCACCAGCAAGCCAGTTTTGCTCTACCACAATGGACCAAAAGAAAGGGAAAAGTGCTATTTCCAAGAAGGCGTTTCCTTCCCCCATTAGGAAGAAAAGGGATGCTCTCCCTTTTTTATGTATTGAAATCTACTGCTTTCTAAGGACTCTGGTCTCTACTGTATTCCCAAAGATGTTTGTTCAGAAAGCAAAGCTTTTAAATTCTGAGCATTTCAAAGCAACAAAAAGCTAGGGAAGACCTGGAAATGACTGCTTTTTCCCCATCTAAGAACTAGAGTAGCAGGTGAAACAGTGCCTTCCACATAGCCAAGTACCCCTGTGTCCCCTTTAGGGCCAATCTTACAATGCTGACAATGAAAGAAAGGCCACCTCCCTTCTACTATACTAATTTGGAGAGTTTAATCCAGTTTTCTTCCTCTGATGGTGCCAACTCAACAAATATCCTGCCATGAAAGAGTTTCAGAAGCGTGTTGTTGGGCAGGAGAACAGGATGGGTCCTAACATCAGGCAGTACCGAGCCCCCAGAGCAGCCCCCCCACCACTCCCAACAGCTGGCAGTCTCCTGTCCACGCTACGTAGTACAAAGGAGCAGCTACTGATTTGGGCTGAGCTTTGGGAGCTACTTCTGAAAGGAGAAACAAAAAAACTAAAATAAAACCAAACACAAACCAGACACGCAAATGTCCAGACATAAATAAATTAAAAAGAAATCATGCCTGAAAGTGGATGGGAAGGAGAACTAAGAAGGGGAAGAGAGACATTCAGAGACTCAGATGTTCTGGTGTTCTGAGCCAGCCCAGCGAGGGCTACGCCGGCTGCGTGTGACAGGCAGGGTTTGCACACATCAGCACTCAAGCCCTATACTGGCCAGGAGGTTTTCCAGAGCTTCAAGTTTCTGGTTGGCTTCCTCGATGGCACTGTAAGTCTGCACGTTGCTGGTGATGTGGAAGCGGATGTCATCAACCAGAGGAATGGAGTCAGTCTCCTGCCGTTCCTCCACAGCCTCCGCATTCTCCTTCACGGCAGCCACAAACTCCTCCAACTCCACCAGCTGGACAGTGTAGACAAAAGAAGACAAGAAGACAGGTAAAGGGATGCAAAGGGTTGGGATAATGGGCTCAGACACTGTTGAGGGAACACCCAGAAGAAAAGGGAATGCTAAGGGCACATGGGGACCTGTTCTTCCCATGTCTCCCAGAGACCACTTGGAGATGCCTCCTAACATTCATCCTAAGGAAGCAGCAATACTCCAACAATAAATGGTCACAACCATAAGCAATCTGCACCAGAGCACTAACCACTAATACCCACTAACCATCCATAGTTCTGGTATTGGGGCACATCAATGCACACAATATTCTCTCCAGAAAGGCTTCCCAGCAGGAACCAGGAGACACTGCCAGACACTTTTGGGAAATGTCTCGCAACAGGCAAGACAGCGGGTGCTTGTGCCCAGTTCAGAACCAAGAGCCACAGATGACTCTATTCCCACCATGGCTCTCAGCCCTACCACCAAGAGCCGACCAGCAGATCACAGCCAGGCAGCTGCTCCCTTCTGCGCCCAACCTGACGGAATGAGGTCACTCATGAATGATTTTGCATCAAGCTCCCCAGGAACATGTGCTGTGCTGAGGGGCGAGAGGCAGCTTCCGTCTGTCTCGGCTACCAAACTGTGCCTGGGCGCAGCAGGTTGCTAAGCCCCGCTCTGTGCTACACAGACTGCCAAAATCTCTCCCTCTTGCCATCATCAGAGCATCTCCACAAAGATGCTGGCAGCTGCTGATGTTTGAACAGCTGGGGTGGCTCCGTTTCTGCCGACACCCTTAGGAAGGCACATGGCCAATGCTGGGCCTGAGAATTCCCACTCAGGCTAGCGAAGGGGAATGCAAAGCCCTACCTTGCCTGGTTTCTACTTGGCATATTCATTCAGCTTTCAAACCAAATTCCCTTTTCAGAAGCTAGAATCTGGGCACATACTGACGTGTCTATCATCCCCAAGCTACACACTGAACAGAACACCAGCCCCATAATCATTTCCTTTGCTATTTTCACATGCCAAAAAGAATTTCACACCTTTCAAGCTGCAGGTGAAAATATTACATTCCTCCGTGAACTCTACAAGTCGTTTATAAAGATCTGTCTCAGGATAAGAAGACCCCATAGATTCTAGTCTATCCTTCCATATGGCAACTTCCTCCACAAGTCCTGAAACTTCAAGCTATAATCACCCAGGATTACACTTAAATGGAGCCCCATAAAGAAAACTTCAGTGCTAGATTCATTACTTCTGGCTGTTCAGCAGCCAACTTTCCCCTGTGGAAATCCCTACTGTTAAATTTGTCATCCTGGAGAAGATTAGCAATCACACTGATTACTCTTTTCTATAGCATGATGCCAGGAAGAACTCCCTCCAGCAAACACCAAAAGTATTTCCTGCACAGAGCTCCACTGCACACTCCATGGGGTTCTCCAGGCTGCAGCTGGAGAAACACCGCTGTTGCTGTGGACCACAGTGGCTGAAAGCTTGGTGAAAGTCACCTGCCCATTGCACTTGAACTTTTTTGGGCATGTTTTTAACCCCATTGTCCACAGGGATGAGCTACAGAGACATCAGTACCTGGCTTTCTGCAGCGACATCAGGTACTACCACACTCCTCTGTCCTAACTCACCTTGTGCTTTGCTGCTTGACTGCTGCTCATTTTCAGGGAGCACATTTAACCATAGGGGGCAACCATTTATTACAGACTAAAGGACAACCATGAAATCTGTTGTATCTATTGTTCATTGTGCAGTTAGATTTGTGGGCACACGTAAGCGCAGTGGGGGGTGTTTCCACTACCTTCTCGATGATCTTTGCCATGTACTCCGTGCACTGGTCCTCCAGCCGGGTCAGCTGGAACAGCTTTGCGATCCTCCAGATGCTGACAATGTTGTCCTCATCCAGGATCTGAGCCAAGGTCCTGCCGCAAAGGCGCTTGAGCCCAGGCAGCAGGTACATGTCTGCCACGCACAGCACGTCGTAGGCATTTTCCGGGGACAGCTGGCAATGGAAAGAGGAGAATTACTGTCCAGTCCTACCCACTTCACAAACTGCCCTCTTCTCTTGTGTCCCTAAAGCGCCGTTTGGCCCATTACCTGACAAGTGTTAGCAGTACTATGGAGAGACAGGAGCTCAAGCTTTCAGGGCTAGGTCTTCCACCCAGTTACCACAGAAGAGCTTAAAATGCTGCAGAAGCAGCTTGTTCAGCACAAGGCAAGGAGTTTGCCATGCTGCAGCTAACCCCTCCAGCTAAGCACAAAGCAATGCTGAAACACTGAAACCTGGCTGCTAAGAAATGTTGAGTGTGGCAGAGGAAGGAGGGAGCTTTTACCAAAAGTACTGGAAGCCCTTCAAAGAGACAAATGGCAGGACAGAGCACCTTGTCCCCACTAGGACTCTTCTTCCCATTTTATACTGCTGGACTTGCGTTTTGTGAAAAATATGCAAAAATCTCTTAAGTTTCCTCCTCAAACTGGCTCTATGAACTCAGCCAGCACAACCACTCTGGCACAGGGATACATCAAAGTACACCAAATTGCATCCCAAATAAACTGTAGGTGAGGCCTCACTAGGTAAGGAACAGACTCCGCACATCAAACGCTACTGGAGCTTTATCAGGGATTCAAACTGAACTGAATTCATGCACCAGATGGTCAAGCTTCCACTGTTGTGAACGACCTTTAACATTTTCAGGCTCTTGAGCTAGAGAACCACCCTCCCATTTCCCTCTTGGGTACTTTTGTTCCTCGCAAGTGATCTGAGGAGACAAAATGTTGTAGATAACGTTGGAGACACCACCTCCAGCTTCACTCAAGTCTCTTCTCCCTGGCTGGGCAAATCCTATTTTAGTAAGCCATCTGCGTCAGTAACCTGGAACTGGAGCCTCTCTCTGCACAGTTCTGTTCCTGCTAATGTGAAGTGCAAAGAGCACAGTTACCCACATCCATTTTAACAGCGAATCTGCAGGATGCAGCTTACCCTGGCTGTGAAGGAGGCAAGATCACTTGCATCTAGAGACCAAGCCACCATTCCTCAATCTAGACCAGTGTTAACTCCGGTGCAGCGTGGTCCAGTACCCTGGTAACTGCTCAGCAGCAAAACCACTGCTGTCCACATCACACATGTGGTTGCTCACTCTGACAACTGCAAAAGGCTGATTATCTCTTCCCCTACAGCTGCGCGCACCGGCATCTGGAGAGACTACTCACAGCAAATGTCTCAGCTGTCTAACACCCTGCAACAGCTGTGCAGAAGGATGTGAGATGTATTAGAGGCACGCCATGAACGCTATAGTGCCACAGTGGTGTAACAAAGCTCTTGGGGTTATTAATCAAGTGCTGCTTTGTCCTTTCATAAGCTCCAAGAACTTCACGAGTTCGAGGCATCTGAGTCAATACTATTGATGGCAGCAGCTTCCAAAGGCTTGATCAAGGATAAACCTGGCAAATGTTCCTCCAAAAGCTCCCCTTGAGCCTACAAAAAAGCCCTGGTCAGCAACTCCTCTGTCTGGAACCCTTTCTGTCCTCTGCACACACTCTTCCCTCCAACTGCAAGCACTGTCACTATTACGTGGCAGAGAGATATAAATCTTATGGAAAAACAGAAGTGGAATTGGGGATGCTGACACTTGACTGGAGAAACCTGGGGCAGGGAGAACACTCCACGTACATGTGAAACTTGTTATATTCCTGTTTTCCTGAGCATTTTTCCTAGCAGTTTTTCATGACAGATTAACTCTCTGCAGAAGCTCATATCTTGGCTGCTCAGTTTGAAATCCATGCTAGTTTCTGTGATGGTACCATCCTGCATAGAAAACATATGAGTGAGACCCTTTCAACTCCTACACACTGTCCTCCTGCTCCAAGTCCTGACAGGGCAGCTGAGACACCCCTGGGAAAGGGATGGCTGCTTGGAGGACCAGCAGACTGGAGAGGTGCAAGGGAACACACTCACATTGCAATGCAGGAGGGTCTTCACAACCCCAACGTGCTCCTTCCCCTCTCTGCCTGCCCTTTCAGCGCGTGGCTGAGGGAAGAGTTCAGGCAAGTGAAGCATCTGCTCTCCGGCATACCAATGGCAATCCTGCCCTCGCTGCCATTTCTCCTACCACATTCCCTGCTGCTACCCGGAGGTGAATGCATCAGCAGAAAGAAGGTCACAGCTGCGTGCGCTCTCTGCATGTGGCACCCAACCCAGAGCACAAATACTGCTGGGGAGAAGTGACGTGGGCAGGTGCGGCAGCGTCTCTGATCACTGCCCTAACACAGACCGTGTGCTGGCACCCCGTAGCTAGACCTGCTGAAAGCATTTGCACAGAACCAAAGCTGGAATCTGCTTAAACGCTGAGATTTGCTGCACCTTCCACTGGGCTGAAAACTAGGTGGATTCGGGCCGTTTTGTTACCGCTTGCAATACTGAGCACAGCAAGGCGTTGGTCTCTCAGTGGAACCTTTCCCCATCCCAGCAATAAATAACAGTGGAAATAATGACTTGCTACAAATGGAAAAGCGGGTTACGGTGCCAAGAGTAAATAAGCCAAATCTCTCAACCTTTCCACATCTCCAAATGCGTTCAATCTGCCATCTACTGGCAGCTGCTCACCTTATCCTTCCACGGAGCCCAGGAGGGAAATCTGCAACACCCTGCATTTATCACGCCAACATACAACGTGCAACCTCATTTCTGAATTTTTGTTATGGGATGAAAGACTAGGGATTTTCTTCCCGAATGTCATGCACATAAACTAGATCCCTGCCTGGCTAACAGCAAGTCCCAGCGCGTGGGCTCCTGAGACAGAAGTGATGTAGCAGAGTAGGGCAGCGGGATTTAAGAAACCACACACCCCCCCCCACCTCCAGATGCTGTAAGAAAACACTGCTGTGAACACCTCCAGAATTAACCAGCACAGGAGGAAAGGCTCCATGGCTAGCCTCACCTCTGTATCATCACTGTAGATGTAGTAGAGGACTCGGATGAAGATGTCTTCTGAGATGTTGTGGAGAGTCACCACAGGGATGCTAGGCTGTGTCTGCAGCTCCTCACTCTCACTGAAATGGTCTTCAAGAAGGGCTTTGAAATAATCACTGCGACCACAGAAAAATGCCTGGAGAAGGAAGACAGACCAAAACACTAGTATCTTTCTTACTGCACCAAACCAAACAGCACTACCAACCAGCTGTCACAGCACCTTAAAGATATTTCGGAAGTTCAGACTCCGTAACTCTGATTCTCCCCATATTCTGAGTCTGCACCTCCAACAATCTTTCCATATTGTATGTCTATTCATGCCTACCCTCAGAGCCAAAAAAATAATTCATAAACTTAAGAGAATGAAAAGTAGCATGGTATAAGGACAGGAATTTGAGTTGAGGTTGGATCTCAAAATCCATTCTTACTGCTGTTTACTTGCAGCTCAAACATTCCCCTCTCCAGACACTGAACTCACAAGCCAGCAGTAGGATATTTTGCAGCTGTGAATGCTGAGTTAAATCCGTAAATCTGTCTCCTCACCTCTGCAAGAGAGGTGGGGTTTGCTTTTTTGTTATATGCTTTAAATATAGTTTCCAGCTGCAACAAGACTTTTGGTTTTCCAGCTGATGAGGAAATGCTGCTTCTGCAGAGTGTGTCCAGCACTGGATGAGCTGGGGAGACAGGTGAACTAAACTCATGGCAAAGAGGAAGGAGAATGAAGTAATAGCACAAGCACATACCTTGTGACACAAAAAGTTGTAATCTGCCACCCGGAAACACACATCAGGACAACTGTTAAAGTTGTCGGTGCTGTCAAATGGCAACTCCCCAAAACCAACCTAGGGAGAGAAACCAGAAAACCCTATTGTTAATATTCATGAATTAAACACACTCAGAGTTCCAAGTTTGGAATTCTCGGTCTTCCCAGTAGCAACCCTCCATCTGTTCCCTCAACACAAGACAGATCGCCAGCGATGCTCTGAACAAAGTTTTCAATGTGAGGAATTGAAGTCCTTACACTCCTGATATGAGATATTCCTTGTACAAGTTACAATCTGCCTCCCTTCTCCATGGAAACTCCCTGAGCCTCTATACACCGCTGGAAAACTTTTCTGTGCCACCTAACAAGGCAGATAACAAAGCAGAGGTGAAGTTTACTTCATGTAGTGGGTATCACAAGCACACTAGAGCTTAGGACCATCCCTTTACTGTGTAGATGTACAGGTGGATGTAGTAACGTGTACATTACATAGATGTACACACCAGTTTGAAGCAGTTTGGCTACAACTACTGCCTCACTTGAATAATCCAACATTTCTAAAGCACATTTTAAATTTTTCATTTGATTTGCAGCCAAAGATAGTGTTGTTGGAATATTAATACTCCAGCGAATTATTTTAACACCAACACACCTCCTCCCAGTCCCCCATGCCAACAAAGACAGCATGAGCACACACACACACAAATCTGTTTGCCTTATGTTATTTTAAAGTGACACTTCCAGATATTTTCACTTTCACCTAATCCTATTGAGTTACACAGGGTAACTCAATTATAAAAAAAAAAGTTTATGTTAACATCATGTAACCAAGACAATTAATCTTTGGAACCCAAAGTTTCCCCTGGTTCTTGCTTTCTGAACACTTGCCCCTGAGCTGCCTGTGCTGAGCAGTTCATTACCGCTGTCTCTCATCCAAGAAAGTTACATCCCAAGTTTGCACTGGGGAAGACTATGAAGATCGGTCTCCCACGCGCAGAATACCTAAGCACCATTTCCAACACGCCTGCCTCCTTCCTAACTGAAAGCAACTAACTTTCAGCTTTACTGAGGAGCCAGATGACTCTTCCCTCCCAAACTGAACAAAGACACAACTGGCAGTGTATCGGGCTGGTGCTCTCAGCCAAGCTCCCTTCCCATGCAGTGGGGCTTCTCCCACAAAGCAGGTTCTAGGATGTGGCAAGGCACCAAGCTGGCAAAAGCTCACACCACCACTGAACATGGCAATCTGGCCCCGTTTGCCGGGCTCTTTGTCTGTCCACAGCAACATTTGGCAGCTTCTGGTCCCTGTTCACAGGCGAGTAAGGCCAGTGACATTCACACTGTGCGTGTGGCTGTCACAGGAACGCTGCCTCTCCACAGCACCTCTCCCCTGGGAGTCCTTCTCCATCTGGGAGTTCTCCCAGAAGAGATGCAGTAATTCAAGGAACACCCAACCTGATCTGTTACCTGCTTTTCATACATCTGTAACACAAAGGACACCTCCAGCACTGAAGATGAGATCGGATAGTCCCAGTTGTAGATTCCCCAGGCTGCTCTCTTGCTGTTATCTGTCTCTCGTGTTACAAGACAATGAACAGACTGGTCTGGGATCTGCAGCCACACGCTCTGTGGCACCTCGTTACAACTGCTAGTAGTCACGATCCAACTGCCCGCTCTGTTTGCCTTGCTGCTACCCCCACCCTACACACACAGCTTCTATGTCCTCTCCTAGAAATTCTGACGTGACTTTTAAGGCACTTTGCAGGCACATCACAGGTAAAACAAACCTAGAAACAGGCTTTGATAAGATGCCATTCTTTGTAGCACAAGCATTTTAACTGAGACATAAACCCCACATCTCCTATGTGCATCCCTTCTTTTCTTCCCTTTCATTGTCCAAAGGTAAATCTTTAAAAGGAATCCATCCCTCTGGAATGGACATGGGAGTTTTATTCGTCTCACAGTTTGTCTCCTGAATTACAAACTCCTCCAGGCTCAATTTCCTGCCTTTAGCCTTGCCTGATCCCCGCTCTGGTGCTCAGGTTCACAAGGTCATTTCCAATTCCTACTACAAAAGCAGGTTCATGTCTTTGTCTCTCCTATTCAGCATGAAGTGGATTTGCAGAATTTTCCCTTTTAAGTCTTTACTACTTCCACTCTCCTCCCTCGTCACGCTTGAGGAATTATATCTCCCTTTCAGGGTCTCCCTGCAAAAACAACAGGCTTATTCCTCCCACCCTCCCCAATTTAAGCAACCTCTTGGAGCATCCTGCCCTGTCCAGGCAAAGCACAGCTGCCAAAGTTAAGTATGTTGTCCAGGAAGCACAGAACAGTCGCCTACAAGATGCAAACACCTTCACAGTAACTCATTCACAATACAGAAATATTCTCAACTCCTCTATAGCATACGACTGCTTTCAACATTCACAGGATCTTCCAGCCATCACATGTGGAGGACTGCTGCTACGAATTTGCTATTAGTGCTTAAATAGAAATGTTGCCAGAGGCAAAAACATACAAAACAAATCACTGGCAGCAATTTGTACCTTGGCCAGATTATCTCAGCAAGAAAATTGTAAATAAATTACAACACAAAATACAGGGGTGAGTGATCCAAGAGAAGATTACCAGCACATAACCAGATGCAAGTGGATTGGATAAAAAAAAAAACCAAAAAAACCACAAAACCCAATTGGAAGTATCTTGTAAATAGCTCAGTTAATCTGCCTGTGCCAAATGGGCAAAGCAAAGCACAGGAATAACTGCCATGGACAACCACACAACACAGGCCTGGAGACAGACACCATGGAACCCATCTACTTGTTTCCAACTGTTCTTGCTACACGTTACAAGATTTAGCTTTACCCCAAAAGTGACACATGGTCACATTTTTTGCAGCCACACCAAATGTCAATACAGATGGAGAGAACAGTAATCATTTCATGGCAAACTCTGATCCTTTTAAGTCTGATTTCATCTTGGTTTGGAAAATAAGATTTCAGTTAAAAGGTAATGAAAAACTGTGCCTACAGTCTCATATACTGGAAGCCCCGGAGTCTCTAACTCAGAGGTCACCTGGCAGACAGAAGATGAAGAGCTGGGCAGACAGTGGAAAGCCACATGGTTTTGACAGCTGCCTGGCTTTTGATGGTATTTTACTTAAATCTGTCACTGCTAAATTGCAACAAACCAAAGAAGCAGCTGCTGTGGTCAGAACAATCGCGGTTGTTATTAGTTTAAAACAAAATAGAGACAACAACCACACCTCTAAAAACAAACACTGAAAGAGAAAAGGCTTTCAAGTATAAACAGGAATGAGAAACAAGGTATCAACACTATAAACATGTTAAAGAGTACAAAGAATTGATAGGTCTTACTATAAAAACTAATAACAAACTGTGATTGGATATCAAATAGTAATTATTGTTTTAGTCATATAGTATATTACTGAACTATGAAATTGGGATGCATAGAGTTTTCTGCACCATTCAAATACCAAAATGCAAATTATTTGTTTATAGTAAAACAAAAAGTTGTTTACATCCCAATTTCACGTAATAAGGCATTACATGCCATGTAGCAGCCCGGAACATCTCTTGCAAAATTCTGATCGTTACCTGAAATGCCATCAAGAAATGTTGGCTTTTATCCAGAAGCTGAATATCTATTTTGCAATGCACAGGCCGGAAAAAATGTACGTTTTTCTCGAGAACACGGATGTTTGCACATGACTATTCAGTTGTCCCTGACATCTCAGGTTACATAGTTTGGATACTATTCCCTGTACAGCATCAAGCCGTGTAAGAATGAAGATGTGTGAATCCCTTGTCCCAGAACAAAGTTCCCTTGTTTGCAAAACTGAACTATTTGCAAACATTAGAATGAGACATAAATGGCAACAGGATGAAGAACTTTGTCCACATAGTCTTTGTAAGTTAACAAAAGAAAAAAAAAAAGAGAGAGAGAGAAAAACAAGAATCTTTTAGAATTTATTAGGCTTAAACAAAGCACCCACACTTGTGCATCCATACAAATTCTCCAGTGAACAGGTGTGAGCCCTCTTCACTGTTACAGCCATAACAAGTCTAATGCTGCTGTAACTGCCTTCCTTCTGGTCTATGGACACAGCAAGAAAATCATTGCTCAAAGAGTCATTCATAGTGCTGTCAGATGATTTTATTATTCCAAGTTTCATATTTTCCTTCCAGCTCCTATTCTGCAGGAAAGAATTAAAAGGGAAGTGTTTCTAATCTTTGAGAAGAAAAGCTCAAACTGACAGGAAGACATCAAGGTCTGGGAACAAGCAATCAAACAGAAAGTATTCTTTTTATTTGTGAAGTAACTTAAGATTTACGTAAATTACACTGTTTTGAAGTCCATAATCCTTTTTTTTTAATTTTTGGGGAGGTAAGTCTGAGGCCTACTTATAGCATTACCTCCCTTTAAAGCCTGAAAATGTACAGAAAAGCAGAAATGTACAGAAATGTGTACATTTGTACAGAAATGTACAAATAAAGACATAATTATTTAGGGGAGGCAAGTGATGTAGCAAAGATTTCCACATTGGTAGATGGAAACTTCATGGAGAAAAACTCCCTCTATAAAGCGCTCAGTACTCAGAGAAATATGTGCTAAACACCAGCACAAAACACGCTGGTTTTTCCAGGTAAGAAACCTTATCCAGCAGGTCAGTCACACTCTGTGCACACACACAAGCTCTCTGTGCCAGGGGACAAAAAGAAAAAAGGCAATAAACCTTGCTACATCAGTCAGTCATACAATCTCTGGGCACAGCAGCCTCCAAAAATGAGTTCATGTTATTAAATTCAGCGCTTGGTATGAGAGAGAGGGGGAAAAAAAAAAGGACAGACATAAGAGCAAAGTGAATCTGCTGATATCGTAGAAAATAACAGATGCAGGGAGAATGAAGGGAGAATGAAGACCATGAATATTTATCCTGTTCTTCTGCAACGAGAAGATTCACATATCTGAGCCTAACTAATAATATTGATGATATTTTAACATAGTGATCACCCACCTGTGGTCTGTGGGCTATTTTTAAGGGTCAACAAGATGTAGTTATGAAAAGCAAATCTATTGCCAGTCAAGTTACATTTGCTTCAGAGTGATCCACATTTCTGCTGGAAATATTTTCAGGGTTTGAAAGCACCTCTCCACTGCAGGGTGTCAGTTCCTAGCAAGCAAGCCCAGCAAGCCATCTTCCACCTGTATGTCCCTTCAGTTACCAATTCCTGCTGATAAAGCATTTCTGATACTCAAGAAGGATGGCAGGCAGAAGGAAAATGAGCTGGGGGCCAATTCTTGTCCCATTATAGTCAATGGGGAAATCCCCACCAACCGCATGGCAAGGGTTTTGTTTACCAAGATAGCCACTGGGGGAAAAATCCAAGGAAAAGAACCAGCACTGACAGCCTCATTAAACAATTTTACCGCATTTCCAAGCAATAAAAGGCTTTCAGCATTTGGAGCCCCAGCAAACAAGCGAGCACTACACTCAAATGGAGATAATGCGACTGAACACACGTGGAACACACATCACAGCCCCACAGAGACCAGAAGTAGTAGAAATGCTCCCTACCCGCAGTTCGGCTGGCAGGGCGCAGTCTGCTAGAAGAGCCAGATCTTCCTGCAGCTGGCAGTTACCTGTGGGCTCAATCGTCAGCACTTTCACACAGGTCCCTGGCTTGGAAGAGACTGGAAGAAGCAAAAAACAACAAAAAAAAAAGAGCAAAGATGCCTAAGTTCCTCTACAAACATTCTCTCCTATTTAGAGAAAAGAAAGACACTCCAGGAAACATCAGTATTATTGCTGTTTAGCTTTTTACTGCAAACCCATATGATTCCTGGACATAAACATGCACACAGCACCCCTCAGTACAACTGGTGAGCAGGGCTGGAAGGGGATGCACATATTGTTGTCTCTCCTCAAACTTCTACTTAATTCTTTGTGCTGGAATATCAACAGTGGCAAACACAAAGCTGCCACAGCATATTTCAAGGGTTTCTCGCTGCAACCTTCATCGTCAATTATAGTTGAAGACCCTTGATCAGGCTGCCTCTGTCCCCTGTAGGAGCCACTCATACAACGCCTCCCCCAGCCAACCACCCCTCCCACTGACAGTGTCACCTAAGGTGAAGCCTACACCAAGGAGTATTTAGGTAAAACAAAGCTGCTTCCATGCCTTTCTGCTCGGCCATGTACTCTCCCATTTCAGCTGTGTCATTCTAACTGCATTCCAGGGAACAAAGGGATTTATTCTTGTTTAGGTAATAAGTTCTGTACACCCGAGCCTGTTCTCTACTCTATTTGTAGATCCCCAAAGCACAAAGACCCCCCAAAAGACCTGGACTCCTGATCATGCCTGTGTTGTTTGCAAACATTCAATAAACATTGTTATCACCACCAAAAAAATCAGATAAAGCATACAGAGATGGCAACTTCATTTGCCTTTTTCATAGCTAGTATGTCTTCCTGCCTTACCCTACCAGCCTAATCAAGGAGAAGCAAAACACATGATCATAATACTGTGGTCTTGCTACGACCACAGCTGCTGTGGAGCTCATCAAAGCCAATCCCCTTAACTTCAAACAAGCAGCAGTCCAAAGTACACCCAGCTATTGTGTTACAATACCGCTGCCATTGCACAGGGCACTTCTTTCTGGCCACCTCCCTCCTGCAATTCACTACCCCAGGTTTGTTTTCAGCTCAGCATGCTTTGGGGTGAGGACTGGAGCACGTAAGACCTTCAAGAGTCCCTGGCACACAGGGAAGCATGCAAAGAAAGATGGAGCACCACTGGAAAAATGCAAAGTTGTGATAAGGAAGGCTTGAGATGCTGTTGAGAGCCAGAGAGACGCAGAGTTAACTCTCAAGGACAAAAGAGTTAAGCGGCCCGTGCTGAAGCATTCAGAAGCATTTCTGACAGGCATGATTCACTGCATTGAAACCCCTCACAGGTGAATCACGCCACCTTGAGACCTCATTTTTCCTGATATTTTGCACAGCATTACATGAGCTCCATCAGATGACTCCATTGGGCCGTGGGCGAAACAAGACCACAATGTGCCACAAAACAAGTTCTCCACCCCCTCCTCCACGTTACGGCTGCACCCTTCAGATATACCACCACTGTACCTCAAACAGGCTGAATATCCCAGAAGGATACTGGAAATGGAAGGATAATTTACCAGTACAAGACAGTCAGGTGCCACCATTGCTACACCAGTAAGGAGACAGGCTGCTCATATTAGCATTAAACACTACCTTTAGATAGATGAATTCCAGGGTAAATAAGTCAAGAGGAGACCTGGCACCAAAACAAACAAGACTGAGTGCATTTTCTCAAAGAGCCCTGTCCACTTACAGACCAGTGTGTGAGAAGGAAATTTCTCCCTGTGCAATTAGAAATTCTTTACAGCAGAGAGAATCATTTATATTTGTGTAGTGCCTATTGTAACAGTTGCCAAATCAATCAGGCTCTGTAAGCGCTAATGGACCCAGCAAGTATTAAGCAGTAGTCAAGAGAAAGAGTTCTTCTCTTGGGATCTACAAAGCATCTATGCATTTTCATAGTGACGCGAAAGAATAGTGATTTGTCTGAGAAGCACATCTACCACGAGACATTTCAGATACTGCGTCTCTCAAATCCAAGAGCACACAGCACTTGGTATCACAAGCAACTCCCTCCTAACAGAAACAACAGAAATCAAAGTGACAGGGCAGGAATAAGCTGTTGGCTGCAAGCAAGCAGTGACCATCACCTTCTTGCAAGAAGTAGGAAAGAAGCATTTTCTGAAAAGAGCAACAAAAACAATGCAAGGAGCTGGAGGGAATAACCCAACTACAGTTGAGAATGGAGGATTTTGTCTTTCTTCCCACTCTAGCCCAGCTGTGTAACACTGAACGTCACCCACCAATTCATCAGCTGCCTTTGTTTCCATTGCTGAATACTTCTTTGTAATCTTTTGTTTCAATTGAGCTAATCCACCACAAAAAATAAAAGCCACAAAAAACCCCACCAAATTCCCAAACCTTTCCAAAACAATGCCACACTCAGATACCTGCTTTATACATCCTCCTCCCAATGCCACTAGCTATAACCACAGATGATGTACGTCCAGTGCCTCCACTATGAAGGCAAGCATCACAAACCTTGCTCTCAACCTTTTTGCCCTAAAACTTGCAGAAATAACTGCAGAACATTTATTTTCAAATACCTCCACTTCTAAAGAAAGGATTACGGCTTAATCTGGACAAACCCTGTCTGAGCTCTTCCAAACACCAAAACAGTTTTTTTTTCTTGTTATGGCCACAACATACGCAAGAGGGAAAATAAGCAAGCATTCACAATGAAGTCTGTCTCAGGTGCAGCAGAAGGCAGTGGGTCATCCTCTCCAGGGTTTTCTAAATCCCAAACTACTGTCTGTGCATGCCAAGATACTAAGTGCTTTTGAAATGCTCCTTTACTCTAGATAATGAGACTATAGAGACTGCAATTACCCACTGGAGTTGCACAAGCTTGAGTTCATGTTGTTTTATTAGGCACATTTCAACTTTATAATACAGATGCAAGACATGATCCTGCTCTGCAGACCTGAATCAGCTGTCTATTCCACAGACAGCACTTTGAACAAGCAGAGATCCCTACTGCCCTAGAGGGAACAGTAATGCTTTGCCAAGCGCCAGGCATGATGTGATCTAAGTTCTTTCCCAATTTTCAACTTCTGTAATTCTTATATATATATCATTACCTGGAGAAACAAATTTTCACGGCTTCTTCATGAGATCTGAAACAAACGTCTAATAGATCAATCTATTAACTTGAATCCCACCTGTCATAAATAAAATCAATCCTAGTACTTCCATCAGAGCTTTACACCACCCATTCATTATGTCTTCTGTCAGACCTCACAAATGAAGAACTGTTCCCTCCCAAAGAACACAGAAATTGAATTATTCGCCAGTGCCACCCAGTAACTTTATATTACATTTCTAAGTGGAGCTTGTATCTGAAATTCCCAACCAACCTGAAACGTTACTTCACCATTTTCCACTTTTAAACCCCACCAAGATGTCAGCTTTTTTGCAGCTGACAAATTTAACCAGTGGACTTCAGGATCGTTAAGTTGCCAGTGACTTAATATGCAATGGCTTCAGACAGCCAGCAAGCTATCAAGTTTATTTTCCTCCCACAATCTACTATGAGAATTTAACTTGATGTATTAAGGCAGAATGGTCACTCCAGGGTCTCAGCTAGAGCCTGAGAGAAGAAAGATAAAAAGGAAAAAAACAGGGGAAAAAAAGAGATCTCCAGCATCTCACTGGGTGACTCTGAGATGCATGCCACAAGATAATTTTGTTACCTGACTGAATAGCTTTTATTTTCTATTCATGTTATTCACCACCACTCCCTTTTTCCACCACTTAATACACAAACTGTTATGTTACACTGTTTGTAGCAAGAAACTAAGAACTGTATTTCTAATCTCTTCAGATGCACGTTTACATTTGTGTTTACATGGCTGAGGTAAGAATTACGATACAGCTTCCATATGGACTGGCACCCTGGTCTACATGGGCACAGCTGTACCACGGTGACCTTGTACCCCACCACCAGAAAACAACTGCACATTCCAAAGAGGAGACATACACGTGGTAGTATCTTCCATGTGATTTGCAAGATAAGGAGTTTCTTAAGCCAGAAGTATTGTCTCTATCTGTAAAGCCCCGCAACTTCAGGAAGCTGAATAATCAGAACTCATAATTCAAAAGGGCACAGTGGAATAGCTACACCCCTACCTCTTAGGTAAAGGAAGAAGATGTTATTGACTTAAAAGCTACAGACTAGATTCTCTTCTCAAACCAATACTAACTTGACTGAAGTAAAGGAGTTAACTCGGAGCACGAAATGAGAATCAGATGTTTTCAGCCTGAAGGTTTTGTTACAAGGTAATTTTTTTACTTCATGACTAACACTGATTTGTCCTCCTTGTGCTGTTTTGATTGTTCTTCACATGTCCCTTAGCTTGAACTAAGGGAATGAATGATAAACTCCAACTGTTGGTTTCCATACAATAAGCTGATGTCATGATTACAAGCTCTTTGGATAACAAAAAGCCCTTAAATAGAGGATTGCGTCATTCAAGGTTTGGCACATGCAAGTGTTATAAATGCACACATGCTTTCAGAAATACTTCTCTGCTTTTAGAAAAGTGTTATATCTCTCTCTGCATCCATTTTGAGCCAATTATCAAACGTTTTACTTTGGTTAGGGGTCAGATAAATGCAGAACAGGACTTTTAATTGTACATATTTTACCTCCCCGGGGATTTAAACAAGTTCTCTGCTGAAAGGCACTTCCCAACGTACCCCACAGTGCTCCACTGAATGTGTGGCAACCACAGCAAAGTCCTACTGCCTACTATAATGAAAACATTCAATATAAATGATAAACAAGCATGTGTCAGAAACCACTACAGCTGCCCTACAGAGAGCCCATGACTGAAAACTATCATGCAAACATGGGAATCCCATAAAACAATCATTTTCTGGAAGCCCCGAGGGCACCATGAAACATCCACCATCACACTTTCCTTTCTCCCTGAAAGGGCACACAGGCACAGCAGAGACAACAGCAAATAAAATGCTTACCAAATTCATAGACTTTTTTACATTTGGTCTCCAAATCATCTATGAGGTCCTGCAGCCGACACTGCTTGGCCAACCTCTTGCAATCACTTACATATTCGACGTCGATATCAAGACGACCTGCCAAAGAGAAGTGCAGCCAGCTCTTTCAACCCAAACCACTTAGGTGTAAAAACAGCAAAAATGAAGAACTGAAGACTTGACGGCACAGAAATTCAGTAATCAGACACATTGCCTCCCTTTTCAGCATGCAGCACTCAGTCCAAGAAGCTAAGACTTGGTACCCCACCGCTTCGATGAATCTCAGTTTGGCATCTAATTTACATTCCCACCTGCCAGTGTCTATCCTGATAGCTTCAATCAAGAGGGCAAAGACTGAACAAGGTTATACAAAATATATCTAATTCCTCAGAAAAGAAAAAATAGCAGCACAACAGCAGCATACATGACTGCCACCATTGGCTACCTGGCTTTGGGTAAAAAAAGACTTTAGGCCCAGAAGCTCTCATCTCAGAGTCTTTTACCATCACTGAAAACGTGGCAAGGAACACTTCTGAGAACAGTGGGCTGGGGAAGGAGCGCCTTGAAGATAAAGTTATTTTCTAGCACCATCTCCTGGCCTGAAATAGTTCAGCACTTAGTGTGCCTACAATATAACATTTGGCATTTTCATAGAAGGCTTAGGATCAACTTCTGTTCAGAAAAAATATTATAAAGTAGTAAAAACATTTGGCACACGTTGCTCAGGTCTGCCAAACTGAAAATGTCTTATGTGGGAACCTGGCTTTTCACCATGTTATGGGACTGTTATCTCAGATGACAGATTTACCTTCCTTAAGTTAAAAATACATTCTCCACATCCGTTGAACCTATCAACCTAAGCTATTATTTTTTTTTTAATTGACTGAATAGTTATTGGCAAGACAACAACTGGCAAAAGGTACAAACAACTTGGAAAAGCTGGGGATTGCTCACATTCTCCCCTTCTGCCAGCAGAGAGGATGTGTTGGCAACTGGTGCACCCAAACACGTCTGTCTGTAAGCGTGTGCCACTGAAAACAGTGCTACAGCAGAGACAGACAGCTGCCCACCAGCCACACGTACATAAACCAGACAGTAAGTCACTTACCTGTGTATAGGTACTGCAGGAGAGCACCAAAGGCTGCTGGATTAATCTAAAATAAAACATAAGAAAGTTACCTTTAAAATTCCCAGGAACTTAGTAACGAGCTTGAAACTTTCCTGGAGACAAACATGATCCTGAACAAATCAAAGAAACACTACTTAAAAAGCAACTCAGACAGTGCTCCCAATCTCCTTGCTCCTCCTGTAACTAATGCTGCCACCTCACCTGCCTCACAGAGCTCTTTAAATGGAACAACTGATGGTAATCCATGTGCCCTGGGACGACAAGACCTGAATAACAGAGAGCCCATATAACTATCCAAAGATAGTTGTAACACAGGCTCTGTAAAATCCAGTCTTTCACCGGTCACAAATATTTCCAACTCTTCTTAATTTGAGAGGAAAGATGTGTTCTCGTACAAAGAGAGAGGAGAGACTTAAGCAATGTCCTGAGAAACTGGAAGTATGTTTGTCACAAGAGGTTCTGCACAGCCACAATCAAGCTATAGAAACATATGCCTGAGTATTGGTGATTAACGGATGGAATGCACTTATGGCCTATTTAGTTCTTGCTGCAAAGGCAACAAAAGGGACTCAATTAGTGCCAATTATGGAGGTGATGTCTTCACTACAGACCACCTGTCCACCAAGAATTAGACAGACTAAACTCATGCCACAGAGGAGTCGTGGCGCAGCTGGCAGATGGTAACAGCTACCTGCTACTGCAATTAATTAAGATACGTTTGAGCCCATGACAGAGGGAACAAAGGGGAAGTATGCAGTCTACAGCCTTTTGTTATCCCAGTAAGACACTGTTTTACTGCATAAAGTGCCTCCACAAGCCCCTCCTTGACTAGGGTCATTCTGAGCTACAGGAGCTATTCACTGTAGAAGTTAACCCTCCAGTCGTCCTCCTGTTTCAACTGGGTGAGTAGGAAAAAAGAAAGGAAAGCGCTGGAAGCTCAGCCTTGCTCACCAGTGGATGCTTCAACACTATCATGTTCTTCCCCTTCCATTTGGTCTCAAACATTTCTGCAAAGTAGGCGCTGCGAGCGCCGAGAATGCAGCGGTGGGCACAGAAGGATTTGCCATGGACAATGAAAACGATGTCACTTTGGTAACCCTGCTCCAGCAACCTGTGAGGAACAAAGAGAGGGGAAATTCATTGCAGAATGAGAAAGGAAAGAATAGGGTAAAGCTAGTAGGGGACAAGGTACAGTTAGGTCTAAATGAACAAATGCCTCTGGACATTGCAGTCTGTCCCTGTTCAGCCCGAAGACCAGCACGGGGGCTGGTACATCACATTCTAGACTGAGATCTCTCACTCCCTCCAACAATTCAAAGAGGTTTTGTTAGCACAAGAGGGATGCTGGAAAATGAAACCTTCCTGCCTCAGGTGAGCCCCTGAACACAGGGAACAGATTTTAAAGAGAACTTGTTGCCCTCCAAACGCTTCTCTAAAGGTTAATCCTGCTTTTAAACTGTCAGCTGACAAAAAGTCTACAGAATCATGAACCTTCAAAAAGAATTAGCCCACTACGAAGTGAGGTGCAACCTTCCTGCTCTCTGGGCAGTGTCAGTGTGCACACTTGAACCATGGAGCAAATAGGAGAGGACTTTATGTCACCATCCTCAGAAGAAGGAAGGATGTTACAGGCATGAAATGCAGGCAATTACCACATCAGTGATGAAGCCTTGTTTACTGTTGTGTGCCCATGCACTCATGCTTTAAAAGGCAAAATTGCTACTTCTAGAGTTTATGGCAACCATCACCAGTATTTCCTAATGCCTGTCACCCCTTGCATATACATATCCTCACAAACATCCCCAAGAGGTCAAATCAGGCAGACATCAGGCAACACACTCCTTCTAGAGCCCAGGACTGGTGCACAGAAAGGTGTGAGGGTCACACAAGGAGATGGTGTCAGAGCAGGGTCTTGAATGCTGATCTCAATTTCCTGCTACTAGAACATCCTTCCTACTAGTGTCTTGCCCAAAAAATGCAATAGAAGCAGTTAGGTGGTTATTTTTTGCCCCCAACTCTTGTCCTTTGTTTCAATTTTAACACAAGTTCTGTTTGGAATGAGAAGGGAAAACCGGCACATTTCAGTTTTCACACGTGCTCAACCCTCCATCACCTGAGCCAAAAACTCACCAGGGGAGTGATAAATCAACCTACAAAATTCTACTTCCCTGAAAGGCAGAATCTGATTTTACTCAGATAAATGAGTTTCTTTCCTCCTCTCTTTCCCTGCAGCATCAGAAATTACGACTCTGTAGTAATGGGAAGATTGTCAGATCTTTCTAGGACTTATTTGCTCTCCAATTTTGAAGAAACAGATGCTCAAACCTTGTTGGTTTGCTTGTTATTTTTTTTAAGTTAGTCCAATGGGAAGAAAAAAAACAAACAACCAACTCTGTGCCATAACAACAGAACTAACAGGGTAGAAAAAAGAGCAAGAAGATTTACACTGTTCTTGTACTCCTAGAGCACATTGGGCTTCTTCTCAAGCTCTAGGCTGAGACTACAAGATGAGACAGGCAACTACCAGAAACATCATAAAATTAACACATTTTAATGAACAAAAAGAAAGAGCTGAGCACTGTCCCTGTAAGTCACTTTGAGGTTTCTTAAGGTGCTCTCTCTCAGAAACAAGACACCTATTTTCACTGCTGGAAACCTCGGCTCACAGGCTATAGCTCTTCAGGCTTGGAACTTAATTTCAGTTGACATTATCCTAAATCTCTGATGCAGTTCCAGTGATCTGATTTTGGTTTGACAGTCAAGGATGACAGTCTAATGCTTCTGCATTAGAAAGACCAGTTTTCTGTTGGCCCTGGAGTCTGTAATTAAGTCACTGGAGGCTATATTTTAAATGCAGACATACCTGCAAGTCCTCCCTTAGGGCACAACGGAACATCCCTTAGAAACTCTCTAAGTCCAGGAACTAGACAGTACCAATCAGTTGCCTTTCAAGTCTGCCCTTAACAGAGAGCTTGAATATCCAGGTTAACAGCTAAGGAAGGATGACAGAATGAGCTGCACATGGAGCTGCCTCATCTGCTTACCGCTGCAGGAAGACATCATAGTAGTCTCTCTTCATGCACTTCGCCGTGATCTGCTTGTACTCCTTCAGCAGCCGTCGGATGGCGTCGCTCAAGGCTCCGTACAAACAACGTTCCCCATCAAAAGTGTTTGCCTCACATTTCGCGCCTGCAAAATGACCACAGGTACACGCCAGCAGGCAGAGTTACATCTTTCTCAAGTGTCCCTGAATAGTCACCAACAGACTTTGAATTTTGGCTGATGTCCTGTTTCACTGTGATCCCCTATGCTACTGAGCATATTTACAAAAACTAAGCTCCCCTTACATGTGTATAACCTAAAGCTCTTCTCCCACAGCAAAATCCCTTTCTGAAGAAGTCATGACTCATTTAAGCCTACCCTGGTAATAAGCCTCTCAGCAGGGCTCCAGCAGTGTTCTGGGAAGAGAATCTCACTGCACACAGAGTATGATCACTTATGGGACTTCTAACAGCTCCTCCAAAAAAACACTTCTGTCTTGCACAAGGCAAGAGATGCCTCTTTAGGTCACACCCTGCTAGACATTTGGAGGGCACTTGCATTTTGCTATTTTAGAATTACACAAGTGGTTGATTAAGATGCTCTGAATGTTGTGGAAGAGACAAGCCTTTTGAGATCTTACCCTGCACTCCTATTCCTCTGCCAGAACATGGAACATCACCACTACCTAAGGAATTTGGGTCCTGGGAACTAAACTGGCAGCCACTTGGCCTGGAAAATTTGTCTTGCTTTGTCTGAGGTCAGTAAAGCCCTTGCATTTCACCTTTGAGTCCTGTTTCCAAAGCAAGGCTATCAAAAGACTACACTAAAGTTTTACAGAGAGTTCTTCAGATGAAGTACAATCCTTACATCAGCACACTCCCAACAGCAACGCACCCTTGCAAAACATCAGCTGTGGTTTCAGAAAGTCATGCTGCCTTGAGTCAGCAAGGAAAGCTTCCCTGCAGCAAATTCAAGCAGCAAATGGTCTGCAAAAGGGACCAGGAAAGCGCGTTCAGGGCTCACACTGCAGCCTGAGATCACTGATCAGATGGCCGATTGTAACAGAAGGAGATGCCCCAAGGGACAGCTAGGAGGATATACAATCCCTAGGGACCAGGATGGAGAAAGATACTGTACCCAGAACCGGGACACTTTTGCTCACCGTTGGCTAGAAGATAGCGTACAAGCTCCTCGTGTCCACAGAGGCAAGCGTAATACCTGACAATAACAAGAGAAAGAAAATTAGAGACACAGTAGGAAGCAAAATTCAATGTCTGGGCACACTACAGCATGCAGACCTCAGCACGGAGCCAGTCCTGATAAGCTTAGAAGATAAGTCCTCATAGGAGCAAGGAATTGCTACCGAATAGCACAGAATTGAGCCCTGCAATAGAGTAAGCAGGATCTGTTCCCAGCACTCTTAGGCACCGCTGTCCTGCAAGGAGATCTCAAGGTCCCAGTCAGGGTTCAGCACCTTTGTTTGTACCACCAGCTGCCAAATCCACCCTCATTTTCGTGGAGTTCGTTTCACGGGCACTCAGCAATTCCACTGAATTCTCAAAAAACACTCCTTGCTCCTTCTGTTGTCAGGCTGACTGCTGCACACGATGATAACGAGGGAACAGCACCCACACTGGATATACAGCAAATCCACCCCTCAAAGCTCTACTTAAAATGAGTTTCATTTTCTCTTTCACGATCTAAGCCTTTCAGGATTCTTTCACAAGGATCTCAAATTGTCCTACAAACTAGGGGAATCCTGTAACCTGCATTGCAGCGGGCAAATGTTAGTTTACCTTTACTTGGGGAAGTTATTTCATACTCTAAATATATTGCAGATGTCTGAATGCACTTTGGAATGGTTTGCTGGTGTTGGCAAGGATAGCGTTAATTTTCTTTGCAGTAGCTAATACGGGGCTATGGTTTAGATTTGGGCTGAGAACAGCATCAATTAGTACAGGGATATTTTAGCTCTTGCTGAGCAACGCTTACACAGGGACAAGGCCTTTTCTGCTTCTCACATCACTCCACTCATGAGTAGGCTCAGGGCACACAAAAACATGTCTGGGACAGCTGACCAAAGGGATATTCCACACCATATGGTGCCATGCTCAGCATATAAAGCTGGAGGAAGAAGAAGGAAGCGAGGGACATTTGGGGTTATGGTGTTTGTGTACGTGAGGAGGTAAAAAGCTCACACCACCCTCCTCAGCACCAGCACAGGGATTCCTCACTACCTGCTGCACGTTCACAGCCTTGCCAGACAGTGATCCCACAGTCACTTTGAATTTCATCAAGCCAAGCCTCCCCCCAAAAAGACACGCCAGAATGCCATAGACTTTGGTGTGAAAAAAAGCCTAATCGGGCCAAGAACAGACTGCTTAATCCAGATAATTTGGTCACAAAATTAATCACCCTTCTCACTACTAGAGCAAGCATCAGTCAGATGAAGAGACAAAGACACATTTAGCACAGCACTCGCAGAGAAGAGAAGCGGAAATATGTAGCCAGATCTCCAAAAAAGCAGAACCAGATGTTTTGTAACAGCGCTCCTTGCTGCTGATGCAGAGAGTGAGAAAGAGCTTTAAAAGGCCTCCCCTCCTGCCCAGCCAGCGCTCTAGGCTGCAGGACTCACAGAGGTGTACTGTCCCATTTATCACGGACATTAATTTCCACATCTCGCTGTTCAAGAAGGTATCTGGAAGAAAAGGGAGAGCAAAGTTATAACTTCATGCAGCTGCTCACTCAGTCATATTCTCCTCTTTCAAAAGATGTAACTTTGAGTTTATACAGTAACTTCCACAGGTATGACAAGATCTTGCATTCAACTTGGGGAGCTGTCAGCCCTGGCTGAAGGAGCATCAGTCAAATTCTCCACCCAAGGAGCTGCATTCTGCAGCACGGCTTGACAGGTCTCTTCATTCTGAAGTGGTGCACATGGGGAAAGAGAGGAATCAAACTCAATTCCTGCTGACCCCTTACAGGGCAGAAATCACAAAAGAAGCCTAAGCACTTCAGCAGTAACTTCAGCTTTCTCCTACAACACTCACAGCCTGGACGCTTAAAAATAAGTAGCCATGTTTACGAGGCCAAGGCTGGACTCCCATCCTGCTTGTGGCTTTTCTTGCCACAAGTGAAAACATCAGTGTCACTCCAGACTACTCTTAATTCCTGCCATTTCCGTGTCCTGCACAATTAGGCTACACCAAATGCTGCCAATGCTCCCTCTTTGGCACCTCCAGAAGCCGGCCTTTGTCTTGCACATAAATCTCCTACACAGCCTGGCTCTTGCTATAGCTTGTCCCCAGCTGGAACAACCATCTCACCTAACTGTATATAAAAGTCCCCCCGAGCCTTCACAAAGATTCTCAAGTTGTTTTTCCCATCAGCCTCTCCTTTCACTCCATCTTTCCTGTCTCAAACTTCAGCTTCCTCTGACCACATTTAAAATCCCAAGCAACTCAGGTCCTTTCCACTCAGCCCATGTGGTCAACTTGTCCCCTCTGCGTTGACAGTATTACCACACTGACCATTTCTCCACTATCACTTCAATGCTGGTCATCTTAAGCCACTGCAAGGCCACCTGCAGGGTCCCCCTTTCTACAGTAAAGCTGCAATCTGCTGCTCGCAAGAAATTTATCAAATAGGAATAAACAACGACCACCAATGTTCCCCAGACCTCATATGTCTGCCTGTTCATCCTTCATTAAACAGAGAGGCTATTTCTGATTATCTGGGAAGATTCACATGTCGGTAGCTGGAAGAATCAAGGAGGATCAAAGGCTAAGAGCATACTTAATCTCAAACCATGAGATGCAGCAGAAGAGTCTGTTGGAAATGTGGGTCCTTCGTGTTACAACATCCATTCACCCTGCAGACAACAAGCCCATCTGACTCCTGACCTGAAACCATTGCAGCTAAGCCACACTGCTTCAATACAAGCAGCCCGGTATTTCTCACTGATACTACCACGGTCTGCAGCATATCGTGTCAAAATATATTCATGATTATTACTGCCCAGAGATCTAGCTTCCTACCAAGGTAAATACAACTTCCAATGCTGGAGAAAGAGCAGCTGATGAGAAGAAACTTTTGCAAGAACATCTGCCATAGGCAGTATTCATGCCAATGAAGTACACAACAGCTGCCTGATATTCACATTTTAAGAATTTGCCTGAACTTTAAGAAAATGGGCAAACCTTACAGCAAACCTAAGAGCACTAGCAAAGGTTCGGTGTACACCCACTTCCTTGGGGGAAAAACAAGGCGCCTGTATTGATAAAGAAGCAAACTCTCCCCTTCGCACCCCAGGTATCTCCCGCCCCGCGGCTGCCCTGAGAGACCCAGGGCTGCTGGAGCCCGCCGGTCCGGCGCCCAGGGGAAGGCCGGGCAGGGCCTCCGGGCCCCCGGGGCGGCCGCAAGATCGTACCGCGGCACGGGGACGTCGGGCTCCCACCGGCCAGGCCCGTCCCCGCTTCCCAGGAGCGATTAAAGCGCTTAAAGGCAGCGGCTCATGCGGGGGGACGCCGGGAACCGCCCCCCCTCCCCGCCCCGGGCCTGGCGCCTCACCCGGCCCGGCCCCACTCACCGCACGCGGCTCACGTCCCCCTTCTTGCAGCTGATGAACAGGTCGCTGGTGTCCATGGCCGGGGCAGGCCGCAGGGCGGCGGCGCCGCATTGACGCGGAGAGCGGAGGGGAGCCGCAAGGGACCGGGCCGGGCCGGTGGAAGAGGCCGGAGGGGCAGCGGCGGGACGGAAGCGGGCGGCGGATGTAAACACGGCGGCGGGGCGGAGCGGCCCCGCCTGGCGCGGCGCCGCGCAGCGCCCCCCTGCGGACTGGAGGAGCAACCGCCGCCCGGGATGGGAGCGGGGCGGGGCACGGGTGTAACTGGGGGTGCCGCTGCTCCGGGAAAGGGGGTTCTGTTCGGGAATGAGCACGGGGGGCTGCTCTGCAACGCACCTGGGGGAAGCCTGGTCCAGAACGGTGTGGGAAGGGGTGTCTGGAACACGTGGCAGGGCTCTGAGCTCCCCCAGTTGCGTGGAGTCCAGCTCTAGAGCAGGTGTGGGATGGGGGGCACCTGCTCTGGGACACGCAGGACACGGGGGGGTGCAGGCACGCAGGGGCTCTGCTCGGGAACAGAGCCTTATGCTAAGCCACCCTGGCAGGGAAGAGAGGTCCGGGGAGGATTGTATGGGGGGCACCCCATGGGATCAGAACCATCACCCCCGGGGGGGAGTTGGGACCCCACAGCCCGGCAACTGGCACAGCTCGGGGCATCTACAGCAGCCTGCCATGGGAGAATTGGGGTGGGCTCCCCCAGTTGAGGGGTGGGACACGAGGCTGACACCCCCCATCCCAGCAGAGGGTTAACCACCACATAAGAGATGTGGCAGACGTGAATTCAGGCAAAGGACTACGCTCGGGTCAGTGTTCAGACACCCAGGAGGTGCGTTTTATTGCAAAGAAAACAAAACCACAACCCTGTCACTTCCAGGGCCAGACGTGAGCGTTTCTAAGCGTTCTCCGGCAGCAGTCCCCAGCAGGGGCCAGGGCTCGCAGACAGCACAGGTCCAGCAGGAACGAGGGCATTGAGAAGAAGGGCTGGGAGCGCGGCTGTCAGCTGAGATGAGCCCATGAGGCTCTTGTGAGCCAGCACGGATGAAGGTGCTTGTTGTCTCTGACTGTTCGAGCTGCCCCAAACCCTCTGTGAAGGAGGGAGGTCCTCCTGCGTGGCTGCCAAGGTGGACGGGAACAGACGAGCTGCTGAGGGCAGTGCCTGCAGTGGGATCCCGCTGCGATGCTCCAAGGTCATACTGCAATAATCCATAGGATGATGTACCTCCATTTCACACCGCATCCTTTCCCCAGAGGGATCCTTAAGGTGGTATCTCAAACTGTATTCTCAACCCGCATTACATACTCCACAGCACAGTTACTGGGCCATTGTGTCTTTACACCCTACACACCACGAGGTGGTCTGCAGGATGCAAAGCCCTAGCACATGTTGGACTCCACATTCTAGGTGCTGTGCTAGACATCTGGGCAACACCTGAGAGTAATCTGCAGCTTGGCCACCGTCCCACAGAGATGGAGAGCCACTCTGATCTCGGCCGTGCATCCAGCCAATGCCATCGCCGGTACTCCCAGGGTTGCAGAGCTTCTCACACCAGCACTTGATGCTCTCTCTGAAGAACCACCTCCGTTTCAAGAACCTCTGCTTTCTGGCTGTGCTCCCTGGGAGGAGAGGGGGCAAGGAGAGGAGAAAAGGGGAAGATGGGGCTGAGACCTGTATTGCTACCCAGGACCTCCAGACCAATGACTCCAGGGAACGTCCCGTCTCATTGCTTTGCAGACAGGGATGTCCTCACACAAACCAACCATTATGTGCCCGGTGTGAGCCCCTCTGCTCACAGGCGAGTCCCGCAGTCCCCCATGACTAAAGCAGGTGACTGTCCTCGGCAAGTCACAGCAAACAGATACCCAGAGCTCACAGGGGGGGAAAAAGTCCTTTTTTTAAAGTTTTTGTCTCCAACTCCCAGCAGCCACCAGGTGTCAGTGCGATCAAACGTTTGGCAGATGGGATTAGAGTGAACTCCGAGTAGGTGGAGAACAGTTTTTCTAGGAATTGCTTTGTCTCCTGTACCTGCTTTGTCGCCTGGCACACCGCTCTGAGAAGTCCAGCTTTGACAGTTTTTGTTAAAAAGAAGTTTAACTACATTAAGGTGATAGAAAAGCTTCCTGTTACAAATGCTAAGACAAAGTTTCTCTTCCTCTTTAAATCCTCCCTGTGCAGAGCTGGAAACCCAACAGGGTAAGTGGGCTATCAACAGCCTCTCTACAGCGCTCCCCAGCCCGCAGGTCCCCCAAGATGAGCTGTCTCTGCAAGGCTGGTGGGAGAGGGACAACAGTGCAATCGACTTAACAAGATCAGCCTAGTGCAAAAAAATTATACAGAGAAAAAACAAATGGTAAAGGTATAAAAAGTATCACCAGACTAAAGTGAAATGCTATCAACCAGTAGGTTTCTGGAGCTAAACTGAGATCATACATCCAGGTGCACCCTGTCAGAGACAGCAGAAAATTGTTCTCAGCCTCATGACAGCCACCCTTAGAGACTCTGAAGATTGCCTGGATGCTCCAGACGCAGAAGAGAGTCTCTGGAAAAACCTTCAGGCCATAAGAAGCCAGAAGACCAAATAAGGATAACTTGCTAGCTTATTAATAAACCTGCATAGCCCCCTTGGTTTCTTTAAAGTTTGAAGACTTCACACTAGATCGGGAGGTGCTAAGCCCAGCCAGAAGCAGTGCTTTATCAGCACTTTGTTGTTTCTCTGAATTAGTAAAGTGGAGAGAACACAGGGCAGCAAAGCAGCTCCTGGCAATGAAGTGCAGTAAGGGAGCGTTTTGTGGGTGAACCGATTCACATCTGATTGGTGGCATTATCTTTTTAATAGCCACTGGGCATGAAAAATGTATTTAATGAGGATTAGTGGATTTAGAAACATTTACATGGTGAAACTGCCTAAAGGCCACAGCCAGGCCAGGCCCCATTACGCTAAGTGCTATACAAACTCAAATTTTAACTCCATGCTTTAAATTTACTTGCCGTAACAACTTGCATTTAATCCTGTGAGCCCCAAAGTGCCATCAGCACAGCCACTGAACTTGTGCAGTTTCACTGCACAGACCCATCAAACTCGGCAGGAGCCATCAGAGAGGGGTGGTCAGAGAAGGGCCACCATTATCAACTGCTGGGCCAGGAGAAGGAACTCCTCTGAGCATCTCTGCAGCCCTACCAACGAGATACAAAAGGAGCTGATGGTCACCATCCCCTACACAACACGGGGAAAGGCCTGGAGGCAGAATAAAAACACTGAAAATTGGAATCTGGATAGGAAACCAAAGGCTATCAGCTTTCTTGAATCCCTAACAGACTGATATCGACGTGGTCCTGCATCGAGGTGATCTGTGATTCAGGTTGTATGCAAAGCGCTATGCAAAATGAAACAACAGACTCTTGTACCTCGACTTTAGGCACTCGCATCAGGGGTGAACATGCTAAAAGTATCTATACATACAGGGATAGATTTACAAGCTCAGCATCAGGCTGCTTATCTGGGGATTTTTCTGTACAAAGGTTCCCTTAAAGACCAAATACGAAGCTGCATCTCGCAGTAAGCAAGCATGCAGATCATGGTAACAGAGAGAACACTGTTGCCTCTGACCAAAGCAAGTCCCTCAATCCCTCCATGACAGAAGAAACAAACATTCTGGGATTTCAGGCTTGACAGTAGTTCTGAGTCTGGGTTTAGGCAGGGCTCAGAGAACAATTATGAATATTCCAGTGCCTTTTATCACACCTCTTCAGGGAGCTGAAGCCTCGAAGTTGCCTGAGGCATGCCTGAGAAATGTTCTTCGGGGAGCTCTTAGATCTGATTCTCATCTCATCTGAACGGGCTCTTACACTTGCTTAAATGCAGTGACTTTAAAGATGTTACCCCAATTTATACCTATGGGACATTAAACAATTCCCCCCCTCAGGGCAGGATCCTGAAAAGGAAACAAAAGGACCAGGAAATTATCTGTTTCCAAGTTTTTACTTTTCTCCCTGTTTAAAAAGGCTCACATAGTCTTTATATTTACTTCAAAAAGACCAACTGAAACCAAACTACCCTGGGAAAATAGAACAGGAGCGGAGAAGGCCTACCAGTCTAAAACTGAGACTTAAACAAGGGATACTTTGCTGCTGATTTCACAGGCTGTTACGCGAAAGAGACAGGTAAATGTCCTTTTTGAGCAACTCTCCAACTAAAGCAAATTTCCAGCTACGATGCTGCACCATGGCACCGAATTCTCTGCAACCAGTCAAGCAAGGGTAAAGTGCTCAAACTTTGCGAACTCAGCTTGGAGCTGTGGAGCTGAAAAAGGGAGTGGGGCTGAAGAAGTTTGTGGTTCAAGGAAGAAAATAAGATCACAGCGTGATGTCTTCCCCAGCTGTAAACATCAGCTCATCTAACTAGCAGCTGAATAGCTAGAGCACTAGAAAACCTCTTTTCACATGTGGAATGCAAACTCTGCCCAGAACATCAACTGAGTCTTGGCTCCCCTCCATCCAGAATGCACAGGTTTTCCTGCACCTACAGGGACTGAACATGATCTCAAGGTCAGGACCCGGCTGCCGTAGCTCCAGCTGGACTCCCAAAGTGAATTCACTCCCCAAAGCTGGACTCGTGGTGGCAGGTAGCCTTGCTTCTCAAGCCCAGCCACTCTCAGCCACTACCAGAGAGCTACAGTAAGTGCATTTACAGGTGATGAAAGCATTGGTGCTACTGATAGGAATACACACACAGAGACCTACACACCCACCCCTCCCACTTCCCTCTGTTCAGTGATCCTCCTGGCTCCAAGCTTCAGATGCAGGCTCAGGACTTCTATTGGGAAAACTTGCCCAAAGACTTGACCTTTCCCAAGCCTTTAAGAAGTTCCTGAGAAGCCACCTGATCCTGTGGTCCATCAGTCAGGACAGGAGAGAGACAAGTGCATTTAAGGGGGTAGTTCCCTCCCTTCTTTTTCTAAAGATGCGTGTCTTCCTCAAACACATCCACATCCTCGCTCGCCTGCTTATTGATCAGGACATCCCAGCTGTCGGGGCCGTTGATGGTGTTTCCACCGTTCACACTTGGCTTCTTCTCCTGCATTTCTGACTGGCTGTCGCTGGCCACATCCAAGGTAGGGTTGTCATGGCAGCCATTCTCAACAAAGCGCAGCTCCTCGCCGTGTGACTGCAAAGGACCAGAGGAACACAAATGGAGACAAAGGAGGACAGGTCTTAATGCTGCTGAGAAGCACAATCAGACCAGGCTACAAGTGTCACTGAGGACTTTGCAAGGTCAGTGGGGAAAGATAAATCTACTCCTAGCCCAGCCCTCGCAGTGGAAACAAGCACAGCAAGAGACAGGTTTACATCTCTCTTATGCCAGAATGGGCTCCCAGCAGTGTATCCAGCTATGTCCAGTAAGTGAGCAGGGGAAAACAAATCTCCCTCTTAGTTTTCCAATCCCCTCATTGCGAGGGGCAAGAGTCCAGCCACCTTCCCTACCTGTCCAGTGCTCACTCACCATGTTCTTCATCTTGGGCAGGCGTCTCTGCCAGCAGTTGTATATGAGCCCCAATACAATGATGATGGCACAGATGGAGCCGATGATCACCAGTACCACAAAGAGCTTCCCATAATCACTACGCGTCTGGTTGGGATGCGACTGGCAGCTTGTCGTGGTTGAGTAGTTCTGGATGCCAATCTGGAAGGAAGGAAGGAAGGAAGGGGTTCACTAAATTCCCTGGCTTGCAGACAGGCAGCATTCTGTTCAGACTTTCCAGGGTTCAAATGCAGGACCATCACTGTGGGCAGAGGAACTAAAAGCCAGGGTTGGGGACTCAGGATGTACACTGTCTGATTAGAAGGCATATGACTAAATTTAACACCATCTTCCATGAAAGCTGACACACCAGCAAATGGCAGCAGGCACAATCTTACCTTGTTCACTTGCAGAAGGATCACACCTATGTGCAAGACAAGGAAGCTTTCATGGGAGAAACTGCACAGGATTCAGATACCCAAAACAAACTATGGACCATTGATGGGAGCCTTGGTGAGGCTTTGGTGACTGTGTGACTGTGTGAGAATGAAACCGTACTAAATATGGTTCCATTAAAGCTCTGGTCCTAAGAGGGTATAGTGGTCTTTCTAAGGTCCTGAAAGAGAACAGTCGCCTGCTGATGCAAAAAGCTGCCTTAGAAACAGGCCCCTTGTGATTGTCAGCAAACAAAGCCTAACATCAGTCCCAGTGATTCTGGGCAGATTTCAAGCAGGTTATGTATCAATTTGATAGTAAGTATTATGTTTAAGAGAATATTCTCCCTCTCTCCTTCCAAGCTTGTGCTAGCACAAGGTCAGTGTAACGAGCAGTGTTTCATTATTGATAGAGCTGGAGGCAGGTGGTGAGGCACTGCTCTGGTAGAATGCACGTTAATGTAGGGTCACAGTTGCACAAAGAAGTCAAGCCTTGCACCAACATGAACTCTCCTTTCTGGACAGTTCTCGCTGCTACTTCAGTCATACAATTTCTAGAGGGTTGGCTTTTTGCACTCTCTCTGGTGAAAGCCAATCAATACAGCACCGAGCACTTAACTTGCTTTGTCTAACTGCACCAGTTTGTTATGTCCAGAAAAAACCTGAGAGCAGCCAACCAGCAAGGCAGCGGCCCAACTCTGCTGCTAAAGTCAGTGGAATTACCCAATAGCGTAAAAAACCCAAGCAGAGTCAGGCCCTCAGTTCCCAGACACCCCATAGGCCTAAGGGGCAAAGTCAAAGATCGCAGGACTAATTTGTTCTCATTTCTATCCTGGTCCAAGCTGCCCAGGGTTAGAGGGGAATACATGAGGGCTAGAAGCAGCTGGTAATGGAGCCTGGCATCCATCGCCTCTGGTCCTCTGCCTACCCTTGAGTAGGTGGCTGTCTAAAGGAGTGAAATGCAGAACCTGGGATTGCAGGGAGAAGGTGTGTGAACATGCCCCATCTAGTCCAGGAACCTCTTCCAAGTCCTTCAGCAAAGCTTGAGCTACTGAGAGCCGCCAGTGTATGTAAATCAGCTGTAGGGTGAGCAGGCCAAACTGCGGGGCTCTGCAGCACCGGGATCGCTGTGCAACAGTGCAGAAGGGGTGAGATCAAGTATCCCAACAAAACAAACGTGCAAAAAGCAGCTTCACAACCAAGCCAGAAAAGCAGGGAGGGAATAACCCACAGTTACTCCCTTAATGGGAGCAGACGTTTGATGGCCTGGCAACTACCAGAGGGGAGAAGGGGAGTTTGCCAAGTGTCTGACTCATCTGTTTGCCTGCTGTGGGTTCAACACTCACTTAGACTGAGATGTGTTTCCAGTTTTCAAGGTGCTTATTTTAATTGTATAGCTAGTCTTAACAAATGGATGCAGGCAGACAGGCTCTTACCTCGGCTAAGCTCCTCTTAACATCCCCCAGTGCCATGAGAACATCTTTTGTAGGGATGACGCCTGTAAAGAAGGAGAGGGAGAGATCAGTGCTGCTCTCAGCTCAGGTTAGCTCAGATAGATACACTCATCACTGTGAAATCCCCAACAGAATGGAGCAGGGGAATGCACATTTTTCATGTTCCCACCTATCACAACCCTTAGTGGGTGTGTTTTGCTCTGCAGGACACCCTGGCAAGGTGCTGTGCCCAGCACAATGGCAGAGGCTACAAGAGATGTGCTGTAACAGCTCCACTCCCAGCAGGAGACGGCTTCAGCCAGGGAGCCACCAGCCCACACTGAGCCACCCCTTCCTCAGACCCTCCTTCTCTAACAGCTCCCAGGATGCTCTCCCAGCCAGGAGAGCAGGAACAGTCAGGGAGGATTGAGAGGCTGAGGCTCATTTCACCCTTCACTTGCACAGCAGTAAGAGGAGGAACGGAACAAAAGCTTTATTACTCAGAGAAGAAAATACTTTGGTTTCTGAGGTTTCTAAACTGAGGGATATGGCCAAGCCTGGCTGTGTCCCTGGAGTTCAGACCTGTTTTCTTCTCCAGGAAGGGGGATGTCCCCTCTCATGATGGCAGGAAGGTTTTAGTTTAGAAGACCAAATGTTCACCAAAGCCTTTTCACTGGCACACTCTCCAGCCCAAGGGCTTGGAAGAGATGCAATGATTTAAGGCATTGATACAGCAAATGCCACTTAAATGTTAGCTCTTTTTTCCTCTCACTGTGGGGCATTTTAGAATACTGTTTTGTTGTGGGTTTTTTTTTTTATATATAAGGCATATGTCAATACTAGAGGCCTCCATCACTAAGCAGGTGGCAGCAGCAGTACAGGAAAAGCATCCCCTAACAAAAGGGGATTAAAGAGATGCTAAAATGTTCCAGCCCAGCCCCTCTTTCACTGTCAGCTTTTGTTTCTTTGGGGATGCAGGGGAGGCACCATCAGGACTGGCCCAGTTCAGGCAAGAGTTAAGAAGTATACTAAGAGCAGGCCGTCGTGTCCTGGTGTTGCAGTGGCCTGCCCATGGAGGAGAGTATATAAGCATCAGGATAAAGCTGACGGATGCTCAAGTGAAGGCAATCCAGGGATGGAGCAAAGCAGGAGGCAAAGCACAGAAGATGGAGCTTCGTGCAAGCGGTGAGGGACAAGCCAGAAGGTAGATGCACAGAAAAAGGGTCTTCTGTCCTCAGTCCCCCTCCATCCCTTAGGTCCAGTTAACACTGGGAACTGGTGGGATTGAAATGGACTGGTAAGCAACAGCTCCTTCCAACATGGTTGAAAGCTCCTTAAATACACCCCCACATCACAGGAAGGCTCCTTCTCCCAGCACTTACCCTGTTCCCCTGCCAGTGTCATTAGCAAGTGCTTGTCGTTCTCATTGGGTTTGCTCAGAGAGATCAGCCAGCGGTCCTGCAGTCCATCCGCCTGCCTAGAGAAGGCATCCTCCACCAGTGCCAACAGCTGGGGACCCCTCTCCAGCCGAAACTCCTCCTGCCACAGGAAAGGGACCTTGGTGAGTGGATGGTGGGAACAGGGCAGACGTAGCACTGCAGGGCTGGCCATGACTGCACAGCCGAGGCCCCTGAACCAGGTGAGCCCAAGAGCCAGCAATGCTAAACCTGGTGCAATGCTCCCCACACATCCCCAGTGCCCCAGGCTGGACCCACATACATCTCCTGACACACCAACCCTCCTCCTGGGCTCCTGAGGCTGCCATACGCCCCCCATACCATGCTGAGCCCAGTACAGAGGGACCTTGAAGCGACATTATCACGTAAGAGAGGAAGGAAGCAGCCAGGCTCTTCCCCGCAGCCAGCGCTGGGTCAGCGGGTGCTGCTCAGCCTGACATGCTCCAGCCATCCCTCCGCGGGCTCCTCCGCTGCTTTCTCACTCCTGTGTTTCTATTCTTATCTCCAGTTGCCATGCCAACCTGAAGGCCACACAGATGATTAATAAAATGGAGAGCGTTTGTTGCCATGGCAATTCGAAGCGCTCAGGGCAGGCACAGGCCTGTGCCGAAAACGGCCTAATTGGAAAAGACACCGATGACTAGGGCCTGAATCACCAGGGCCTGACAGTGCCTCCTCTTCGGATTTTGGCAGGGGGAGGCAGGAGGAGCAGCGTGAGGATGCAGCACGAGGATGCAGCACCATGCTGCTGCTCAGCTGCGGCTCCGCTCACGGCTCTGCTCTGGGGGATGCAAAGAAGGGAGAGCAGCTAAGCCTAAAAGGGAGAGGGCAGAGGTGTGATGGGGAAAGCAGAGGTTGCACAGCACTGATAATATCTCTATGGTGAGGAAAAGGGAGCTGTGAAGGAGCCTGAACACACGTGCGCCAAGGTGGAGGTCACCTCCAGGCCAGATCCCGCAGTCCCCAGGCAAAATTCCCAGGTATACTGAGTGGGAGATGTGCCCCCAGAAACTGAAGGGACCGCCTTGGCCAGAGCCCATTAGTAACATAAACAGGCTGCCAGCTGAACCCAGCAATACAGACATCAGCCCTGCAGCAGGTAAAAGCCTGGTGCTATGAAGAACATTAAAGTCCAAGGTGCAACCCTCTGGAAGGGGCTAAGCATCCTCCATGGTCCTCAGCTTTTCAACGGGACTTGGTACCACACCAGATCAGGGCACCAAAACACAGGAAACACGTGAGGAATCCCCTTTCACACCAATTTAAACTACAGCACTTGCAATGCAGGTTCTCCCTCACAGCCCTGGAAATCCAAACACCACAGGGCTTGGATACAGAGACCAGAAAACAAAAGGGACAGGCAGGAAGGTGGGTTGCTCAAACTGAGCTAATGGCCACAGGTAGGAAACAAACTGCATCGACATCAGTGGAAAGGAGAAGAGCTTCATTCCAGCTTCAGCCATGCAAAGTGGTAATGGGAGGCAGGGAACAAAGCAATGTTCATGTTAAATATGTAAGTTGACAAGTGTCCCTTTGAATAAGGGGGAGGACAGCACAAATCACTCCTTGGGAAATATGTTTTGAAACATGAAATCAAGTAGAAAAACAGTTCAGTCCCGCCTCTCCCAGGGCACTGTCTTCTTTCAGCAAGGCAGAACTGAGGACTCGACAGTAAAGACACAATTTGGTCAAGAGACATCTGCACATTGGCTTTTCAATTCTCACCCTTCCAGTGGTTTAAACAACACAAGTGAAAGTGACCACAGGAAGGAAGCCACTATGTATTACAACATTAACCAGCATTTAAACTCCATAGAGATGAGAGAAAGAGCAATGGGGACAAGAACAGAGAGGAAAAAGGGCAGCAGGACTCTGGTTTTCAACGTCTGATTTTCTGAGTTGCAATTGTGAACTGTAGCAGAGATATTTAAAACCCTCCAAAGAGTAAACTGGTTTGCCTAAATCAGGAGGAAAGAAACTGACTTCATATACCGTTAAAGCAGTCAGCATGCTTTATTGTGTATAGGAAGTCTCCTGTTGTCCCTATCTGCAAAACATTTACCTTAAAAAAACCAAACACAAAACAAAGAAAATCCACCCAACCCCTCCCCACCATCAACTCACCAGTAGTGGGAATAGCTCAGTGCCATTGAGCCACCCTGCAGTAACAAAACCAGCCGATTCTGCCCACAACAGGAGCCACAGCAAGCAGGAGTGCAGACACGCGAGGCCAGAACAGGGTTCCCCAATGAAACATTTCTGTCTCAGGCTGTCAGGCTCGTAATCATTTCTTAGAATTATGAAAGGCACCTTGACCCCAAGCCTTTCACAACTGGTTTTAAAGTGACTGATAAAAGGCCCAGCAGAGGCAAAAAAGCCCTTTTCCCAGGGACCACAAGGGGCTCTGGGCTCATGAATTAACTGCAGCTTTATGGGGATGGATGGACAGGCATTGGATTAGCAGAGTGTGGCTGCTTAACGGACCCAGATAACACACAAGATAGCAGGGTGGGGAGAAGAGGCACTTAAGAACCATTTAGTGACAGCTGCTTGACACGGAACCATTCACACTGCAAATGGGGAGTCCCTATTCCTCTGAGGAACATTAGTTTATCCTGGAAGGAGGGGAAGGAAAAGGAAAAGAGGGAAGGAGAATCACACTTCAATCCTGCCATGTTTCCTACCAGTAAGAGGTGCAATATTAAAAGCTCTCATGTCTCATGACAATCCAGGTACTGACTGGCACAGACTAGCAGCCAGGAGTTAGTCAAAATCCAAAATGGGACTGACGTGCTAGACTGAGCAAAATCCTCTCTCTCCACCCACTCTTTTCCCACTTGGGGAACAGGAATATTTCTGTCCTCCTCCCCTTCTCTCCACAGCCTCTGTAGGGACGTTGAGATTTAGTGCTTTTAGAATGTTTTGTAGTGAAAGCACACAGCAAGAGCCGTGCCTGCCTCCACACCTCTAAGCACTATTCCCCCCATGCCATCAAAACTCTTTCGACTGACTTACACAGTCAATGTTATCCGACATATTCAAGATGATGTAGTTTTTCCCTGCAAGGTTGCTCCAGTCTTTGCAGATCACCTGGAAAGACAAGACAAAGACAGCCGGGTTCAGGCAGTGAATGCAGCTCTTCCTGCTGAAAGCATGGGGTACACAAGGGAGAGGAGCAAGGGGCTGTGCCATACCCCCGAGAAGCACTTCTCAAAGGACATAACTGTCCTCTAACTCTCTGCACTAAGGAAAATTCACCATTTCAGTGCTAGCACATGGGGCAGGGACAAGGTTACTGTACCAGCTTGCCACAGTCCAGTTTACCTCCCACCTGTAGGCAGACTCCAGGACTGCTTGGGTAGTCAGAGGAAAGCTCTCTAGCTTGCAGCCTTACCCTGTATGTGATCAGAGCTTCACACAACACAAAACAAAACCTAGTCAGGAGCCTCTGTGGGCCTTAAACTGGTGAGACAGGGCAGTACTTTGCAGGCAGGGCTGGACACACAGAAGGACTAAGTCACTTGCTCAGGCTCCTGAGTAATGTGGGGCAGAAAGCAAAATTAAAAGCTTTCTCCAGTACTTTCTCACCAGCCAGCTCCTGCTACCTGTCTTCCCTTCACCAGCTGCCAGTTTGCTGGATTCAGGAACTGCAGTTCACCTCACACCTCCTCTCCCACAGGCTCTCCTAGACCAATATCCTCACAGATTGCTGTGCCCTGCTCCACCTGCTCCGCATCTGGTCCCTGCAGGCAGCAGCAAAAATAGCATTTCCTTCTCACTCCCCTTCCAGAAATCCTCAGGGCCATTTTTGTCCTGACACTTCCAATAATGCAGGCTGAGGAAACAAGGAGCTTTTGCTGCTGTGCCTGCCCCAGAGGGCAAGTGTTTATTAGAAGCAGGATTTTGAACAGCAGCTTGCTGGGGAAGATGAGAGGGGGCAGGTCTTTCACCAAGGATGATACCCTCAAGAAGTGCTGTGAAAAATATCTCCCGAAATTCAGTTTTGGCCAGGTGAACAGAAGAAGATACTTCCACCAGTCAGACTTAGGGACATGGATAAGGTTAAGGGGTTAAACACTCCTGCCCCAAACAGAAGTACCCAGATATCTCCAGTTCAACCTTCCACCCACTCCCAGCTCCCAGTGCTACCTGTGCTGAGTCCCAGGGCATCTCCGTTGGCAGCATGGCCAAGTGGGCATCCCCAGCCTGTGGTGACAAGCTTCTCTCTGCTGACACAGTCTCAGTGGCTGACTCGGTGTCATTCCAAATGGGATCCATCGCAGGCTCATCAAACCTGTCCCACTGAGATGTAGAAGAAGTGGGGTGCTGCTCACTGCCAGAAAGAGTCTGGATACCTGGGGAGCTACCTCCAGGAGAGGGTGTCCCCACAGGCATTTCCACAGTCTGCTCCATTTCACTTAGCACTGTGGGCTCCAGCATCTCCCACCCCACTGTGGTCTCCAAGAACTCCTCTCTGGCTGAATGCTCTTCCCCACCAGTCTCCACTGTGGTCTCTGAAAGCTCTGCTCTTGTGGTAGCCACAGTTAGCTCCGAATCTGCTCCCTCAACAGCCCACGTGTCCTCAGCTGTCACCTCAAAGGGCTCTTCTGAAATACTGGGAGACCTCACAGCCGTAGTAGTAGAAAAAATAGAGGACACAGGCAGAAGACCTGGTCCCATGCTACTCCCGAGGTCTAAACCTGGAGGAACAGAATCTTCTTCTTGCCCTCCTGTGGCTGCCTCAGTCACAACACCTGGCCTGGCAGAAACTGTGGAAAACAGAAGAGAGAAGGAGTCCTCTTGGCTCACTGGTTCAGAAGATGTAACCTCTGGCCCCAAGGTCTGTAGGCTTTCCATTCCTCCTCTTGAGTGGTCTATAGGGAGCAGCCCCTCCTCTTCCTCCAATGTGCTGGAGAAAGGCGTATGCAAGTCAGGGTCAACAAATTCTGCCGGTGGCTGGACAGTGGCTGTTTCCCAGTTGTCTTTCACCTGTGTCCCATTCCCTTTCAGCAGGGCCTTCTGAGATGCAGCTGGAAAGCTGTAATCTAAAAAGATATCAAAGAGACTTCATGTGACATCACATCTCGAGTAACTCTGTGAGTTCTGTGAACCCTGAAAGGAAGAGACCCCATTATATGTGTGTAGCCACAGATGGGGTCAAATGGCAGAGACCCTCTAAGAGCAGGCAGCAGCCTGCCAGTGGGGAGAACAATCCCATCTGACAAGTGCAGTGCAACCTCCTGCACTTCCCCAGCTCCCTGTTCCATCTCAGCAAACCCACCTTCCCTAGGGGTAATTCACATGTTCCCTCTCCCCACTCTTTTCTGTCCTGAAGGAGTTCTCACAGTTCTGCTAGCCAGGAGACCTGCAAATAACAGCTTTGATACCTGGTTTCTCCAAGGTGAGGTTATGAGTGTTAGGAATCAAGCTGGGATTCATTTCACATGGGAACCAGAAAGATACGGGGTGGTAGCAGCAAGCAGCCCCAAGCTAAATGGGAAATACTAGGGAAGAGAAATAACAGCACAGCAAAGCAAATCCTACTCCCTGGCACACCCAAGTAATAACAAAAACTGAATCTACCTGGGCATCTTTGAAATGAAACTGCACTTCAGTTCATACAGCACTTTCACAGCAGAAAAGTCATCCCACAAATATCTGCATGATGATTTTTCCATGTCATAAAGGAACAGTTTTGCTGCAGGGAAACAGAAGCCAGAGACAGGGGCCAAATCTAACTCCCCTCCCTCCAACTTCAACCCCTGGTTGTTCTGTGGCTCTGACCATGAATGCGTGGGATGTTACTAAGCAAATGGAGATGCTGAAGGAGAAAGAGGCACCTCACAGATAGAAGTTCAGAGCAGGCGGTGACTTCTTCTGGAAGCCCACCAAGAAGCTGGGATCCCAGGATAATAAAAGTATCTGTGAGATCAGACACATTAAGCTCAGAGCAGCAGGCAGAAGTCAACCTTCATCTTTCTTGAGAAACTGCCTGTACCCAAGCAGCTCTGTTTCAGGAGTTTGCATCCCAATTAATTCCCTTTCTCCCCAAGATGAGAACAGCACATATTCTGACCGAGAAAGGGAAGGACAAGGATCCCTCCACAGCCAGAAACAAGCATCTGACCCCATCTATGGTTATTAAGTGAGTGACTGTCTGAAATTCCCAAGGCCCCCCATCTCCTCTCCTGCCTGCCAGGATGCTCCGCTGAGCACAGTGGGCAGCAGCTGTCTGGATGCCTTACAGAGGAGATCTGCACAAGGAATTTCCATGCATCCCTGACTCCAATCCATCGCTTACTGCTGTCAGAGCGGGTACGAGCTCCCAGGCAGGGAGGGCCATGTCAGCAAACACATCCATTGCCTTGGATATTCCCTGGCAACCAGGACTGCCCACGCTGCTCCCTCCAACCTGAGCAGGAGGTGCCAAGATGCTCCTATTCAGCCAGCAAGTGGCTTCCCTAACCCACAGATCAGTCCCCTCATGCTGTCAGCCGGTCCCTCCAGAAGCTGCCTAAAAATGAGCGTGATCCAGCTGCTGACCTTTGGGGTCGTCATGTGGTAACCGTCTCCCAGTTCCAGCTGGAAACAGGCCCCTGAGATCTACTGACAGCACAGGCAGAAACAAGGTCTGCTTAGCAGCTGTGTCTCAAGAGAGAGCACCCATCCTGACTGAGACTCGACCCAAAGACCCTGAGGATGAGAAGATCACTGCTACCCAACAGCCTACTTGCTGATGCTCCCTCAGAGGCCAAGGAGGCTGGTAAGAACAACCAGTGGCAGCACAAAAACCATCTCCCCTCCGCTGCCTGGCACGGATCTTCCCAAAGGCCCTTGCCAACAGCTACACATCCCAGCGTCTGCAGACACAGTCACTGCCCTGCTGGACCAATGTTGGTTAATGGCAGGAACAGCCACAGACCACAGGATTGAGGACATTAGGTTGGGACCCTCTTCAGACAGATGGTGAAGGTTTAGTGCATCTCCCAGGGCTCTGCTGCAGGGATGCTCAAGGTCTGCACCAAAACCACTAACCTAAAGGAACTCTGCCTGCCTCAACATGCTGTGGGTGAAAAGTTAGGGGTCTGCCCCTTAAAACAAGGCCCTGTCAGATGAGGTGTTATTTTCAAGGATCAGCAATCCAATCTGCCATCTCTTTGCCTAAAGACACTCTCAGCTTTTCTCAACTCCTCCGCACCTCCTCTCTTCCCTGCCCCTTTTCCCACCTGGAGGAGAGCAGATGGGCACAGCAGAACAACCAAAAAGCCAGCATGAGGTTCGCCCCATGGGAGCTAGAAATGCTCCTAGCCTGCCAGCTCTCCTTTGAAGTCACACATTCAACCTTTCCTTCAGGTGCTCTGTCACAGATTAACTAGCTCCCATGGGGAAAAGCCTTGCATGATGCAGCCATGTCGCCTTTCCACCAACAAGATCTAAGGATGCCGGAGGGGCTGCCGCCTCTGCCATCTCTCCCGGGTGATGGAAGCTCAGGGAGAACCCATCCCACTCTCTCCCAGCAGGCTTCTGTCTTACAAGGCAGCCAAAGACTGAAACCTGAGCTGTTTCTCTGGGCCAACAAATCAACAAGGCAGAAGCAGACACCGGAATCCTCACACTCACTGCTAACTGGGTTAACATCCCCACTTGCCACTAGTCTCTCCACTATCCTGCTGGGAGCATCATTCTTCCTGTCTGGTTCACAAGACCCCACTGATTATAACCTCAAGTCCCCTCAGATCTTGGAAGGACTGTTATTCAGATTCACATGGAGAACAGTGAAACTCAAGGTGTTTTGGTAAGAGTTGTGCTGGTTTGTGCTCCTTCAAACAAGGAGCTCTCCAAACAACCCAGTTCCCAAAGGGGTTCAATCACTTTCCAAGTTCAGAGATTCAGGGATGGCGAGTCACTACTTCCTTCCAGACTTTCCAGCTAGACACTTAGTTCCTGTCTGGAATCACTTCCTACCATCTCACTACAAAGGGAGTCTGTCCACTTCTCAAGACCAGGTCTCTTTAAGGTAGTCCTATTTTCTTTTAATTTACATCCCTCTTCTACGAGTTGAAGGAATTTTTGTTCCTTGTCCATCTCCTTGGTATGCTCCCAGCCACTAAGATGGTCCCAGCATGCTCTTCCCAAGACTCCTTCCAGACAAGCTGGTTTCCATCACTCATCTGTGCAATGCAGAGCTAAGAGCTTCCCCATTCAAAGAATCTTCTCAGTGTTTCCCTTGATTCCCCTTCCACCCAGCCCTAAGGGAACTCAAAGGGTATCTCCCATTTTCAGCTAGCAGTTCCCCTTCAGCAAGTGGTCTTCTAAACCCTACGACCCACTGGCCAGCCCACCTGGTTGTCCTCTACCTTTAGCGACATTCTACACCTGGTACCTGCGCCCTGGGCATATGGAAGTGCACCCACAGACCTTCCCATCTACCTATGCCAGTGCTATCTACTCCCACTCCCACCAGATTTTGTGGAGAGAAACTGCAACCATGGAACACAGAGGCCAGACAGGCTCAGGTGACCTGAGCTCCCATTGCAGAAGAGGTGCACGGTCTTTTGTTAAAGGAGACAAGTATTATGGAGCTGGCTACAATGCCAGATTCGTCAAGCTCGTTTATCAGCTCATCTAATTTCAGCGAGGAAGCAGAGCACTGCCAAAGAGAAAGGCACCTGAGAAGAGAGAAGGCAGTAACTGCACACACCATCAGCTCCTTCCTTGCCAGGGTCTGCTCTGTAAGTCTCCCATTAAGATCAGCAGTAGGCTGGAGGACAAGATGAACTTGTGGCCACAGACAGAGGTGGCATGTGCCACAATACCCCTTCCAGCCACAGGCCAGCAGCCAAGCCACAATGCAGCCAGCCTGATCACAGAGGGGACAGCTCAGGAGAAATGCCCGCTGTAGCTACAAAACTGTCCCAGCACCTCTGGCCAAACAGACTAGCAGGGATGAACCAGACGAGTGTAGCAGCAGCCACAGCTCCACATCATGTACTCTCCCAGAGCTTCTCAGTCACACCATCCCCTTGGGAGTCTGGTTCACCAATATGAAATTCCACACCTTCACCCCACCTCTTTGCCACTGCATCCTTAGCTACACCCCTTAATGCTTTCCATCAGTGGTACTATCACTCACATTGCAGTATGTAGCTGTCTTTGCATCCCCCTCACAGCTTTTCCCTTCCAGGCTCTCTCGCAAAAACCCTCAGGTGCTATTATTCTAAAGAGGCCATCTTGCACAGCCCTCCTGGAACTCCAAGTCCTGCCCTTTGCATCTCCCAGCAGTCCTAGGTCTGGGTTGCACAGACTCATTTCCTTCGTCCAGGAAGATGATTTGCCCTGGGAGAGGTGAGCTCCAAACCTCTGCAAGAGCTGCCACTTTGGCTATGTCCTGCTTCCTTCAAAATCAAGACCGAAACTTCCCTGATATCAGATGGGCCAAGACCTGGCACTGTGCCGAAGCACGACTTCCCAGCCAGGCATTTAATTCATTATATCTCTGCTTTGCCTTCATTCAGAAGAGCTGGTCTCAGTTACCACAAGGTTCCCTACCCTGTATTTGCCACTATGAGCTGTGTAAAGCGACTGTGGCAGCTCAGAAAAAAGGGTGACCCTCATTGTTTTTAGTACACATAACCAGACCATAAGGTCTTTATTGGATTAAACTGGAAGATCATGCTAACCAGTGATTGAATTACTGATAACTAGAAGGCACTGTAATAAAGACAAGAACATTCCTGGGCTCCCACCACACCACCACACCCAGCACCATTCATATGAAACCACCTGCCAACTTTGGGAGGTACAGAGTGCGCTCTGCTCGCTGCTTAAAATGCAGCCAGGTCCGAGGTGGTATCTACTCACCATTCTGCAGTATAGAGCAGTGAGGCTTACTGCAAAAAGGCATGCTCCATCTGATTGAAACTGCAGGGGGGGTTCAGAGATGCAAAATGCAATTACTGGTGCTGGAATTGAGCCAGTTGGGGCTAATATCCTAATCTTCCAGAAGAGCTCAGAGAAGTTACTATCTCTAACTCCAAGACCGGTCCATACACATGAAAGAGATCGTAGTTAAAAGACAGACCCAGGGCAGCAATGTGGTTAGGGCTCATTACGCTTGGGATTTAATTCAAGTAGAGCCTGGACACCAAGTGCTACAGCTGTCCCCAAATAGTCCCATGCCTTTTTCCTGCTCATTGCATGAGCTGCAATGAGGCTAAAATAAGCCACCCTCACCCAAACACGGCGTCAGTCTGGGATAGCTGCACCGGAATAACACTATGCACAGAGAAACCCTCTTTGTCATAGGTCAGCCTTTGCCAGTAATGTCTCGGTCGAGATGGCTTGTCCCAAGATAGATCACCTAACGTGTCACTGGGCACTAAACCAGGGTGTAAACAAGAGGCATCGCGGGAGCTGAGCTCAGGCAGGGGCTGCTCAGCGCTAAGCTTCTTATGCAGACAGTCTTTACCAGGTGCTTCATTTCATTAATGCTTAGGTTGAAGATGGTATTAAGAACTGCAGATTTGCTGTCAGTCTGGATGAAGAAGCAGCAGATTTCAGTAAGGTTGAGAGAGACTGGGATCTCTCTGCCAGAGGCAAGTAATTCATCACGAGAGGAAGTGAATCTCACTATCCGAGAAGAGTTGAGGATGGAAGATATTTTATCCCATTAACTGGTCAGAAAATATTTTTCTTTAACTACAGTCCTTCTAACTTGTGTGTCCTGCTATCCTTCATCCCAGCTCTCCTGGGAATCCCTTCTGCTAATTACTATGAATAATTAAAAGATTACAATTCCGCCTTCCCCCCCCCCACTCAAAGCACCACATGTCATCCTACTGAATCACCAACCTATAAGACTAGAGTTGATAGCTCCCAGCACAGCCATGCCTTGGTCTTCAACGGCACAACCTTGGAGCTAAAAGAGCAGACCCTGGCTGTAACGAAAGCGAGCTTCATGCCAGCCCACCATCATACTGGAAGATGTGACAATGGACCCCAGTCCTTGGAGGTGCAGTTGTTGGGCAAGGGAGGAGAGGGACTAAGTGCCTTCTTTCACCAGACATTCACAAGTCTTGAATCCATTCCTGAAGCCTGTACTTCCCAACAAATGATTAGGCTACCTCAACCTAGAGCCTTCACTGGGAGGCTTCACATGGGGCACTGCGTTCTGACTCTGCCAAAGGAGAACAGAGATGCAAACCAGGGAGCACTCCAGGAGAGATGTTGCATCTGCTGCCCAAGAAATCCAGTAGAAATGACAGTAGGAAAGATGGGGGACTGGAAGCCTTCAGGCAAAACAAAATGGGGAAGGTGGTAAGAAGGTAAAGAAGGACAAGAAAGGCTAGATGCGAGTCCCTGCAGGTCCACCCTATCTTCAGGGTTGATCTGTGGCTCAGGCCAACTTGATACCAAAGATGAAACAAAGCATTCAAACCCAAACTACAACCTAAGAAGCTTCTGAGTTCCCTGGAAGCCTGAAGGCAGTGGGATGCAGAAGTAACAGGTTCACAGCTCCACTGACTTGCCTCTTGGCTGAAGTATGAGTCCCACACCGTTTCTTTCCGTAAGGATACAGCATCCACAATCCCAGCAGACCTAATCCATCTCTTCCAGATGCAGCTCCACTGGGTAGCAGCTGTGCATGGGTTAGCACACATGCAAGGGTGAACTCCTGAGCACACTCGACAGAATGACACAAATCTCAGGGTCCTTCCACAGGCTGGTGCTCACTGATGTCAATGTAGATTTACTGTTCCATAGCATAAATCAGCAAAAGCATATTATTCAGGAGAATCAGAGCCCCAGGCTGAGCTGTGCTCTGCCAGTGGGAGTTTGTTCTCACTTTCTAATGGACTAACAGGTGGCCCTAGATGCCACATGTTTTCCAGAAATATTTTTAAAGGATGTTCGAGTGCACTTAAAAAAGAAAAGAGCAGCAGCTGCAGATTGTTATTACTTTTTTATCTCTTGCAGCCACAAAGTCACACAAAGGCAGAGGAGTGTCCCCACATAGACTTCAGAAGGGCATAAAATAAAATAAAAAACAACAGATGCAACTAATACAGCTTTGAAATCTCAGCAGATCTGGCCTGTCTGCAGCAAGACCACCAAGTCCAGGCCCAGTATCTTTACACCAAATACAGAAAGGAACCAGCACAGGTCTCCTTTCATAGCATGGAATTTTCTCTCTCCAGGAGTATAACAATCCCATTTTGTGCTTTAATTGATACAGGATCTCAAATCTGTGCCTGGGACAGAGCTACCAACTATATCGGGCTACACTTCACTGTCATTCAGACAGAAATCTCACGCAAGGAAAACTCATACTGTTAACTTTTTTTTTCTTTCTTTCTTAAACAGCAGCTGTTTGAAACTGTTTAATGGATTTATACGTTGAAAATAACCTAACAGATGTCAGCACACAGTTCCACAAGGTATCACATGGCATCTGTCACACATGCAGCATGTAAGAACCATTGGTTGTGTGCATCTCTCGTGCACAGGCTCTGCATGACAGGAGAAGGCTGCCCAATTTAGGGATGCTATTACAATATCCTTTATTGTAAAATGACACACAGCAGGTTTCTAATTAAATTTTAAGTAGAAATGCGCTCCCAGCTCTTGAATAATTCAAACTGTTCTATTAACCAAGGTTCTGAAATACCACCGAGACACGAGCTCTGGACACAGCAATGGCCAGGGGAAGAAACAGTGCTTGGAAGCCCTGAAGTGGTTAGCTGGGCAGTGGATAGGGCAGGGTGCGGGTAAAGGACAGCTGAAAGAGCACATCTGCTCAGGGAGGAAAGCACTGCAGGCAAGAACGGAAGGAGAGAGGAGCGTGTTCTGCATACGAATGGGGCGAGGCACGTGCAAGAAGCGAGGCTGGGTTCGGTACCCCGTGCATCTCCCTCTCAATGCACAAGCACACGCTGTTCTCCAAGTCACGTCCAGATCTGTGAGTACATGCAGGTGCCTGCTGGCACACAAATAAAAGCGCCGCTGAGCGCGCTGCCAGCGCCTCAGAGCAGTGAAGCCAGAGCCATGTCCCAGGGATGTGCTGGTGGGAACACGCACCATCCGCCCCCGGCATCGCTGCAGGGGTGGCATCTGCCCAGCTTCCCCACGGCAAGTGCCCCGCGGCCACCCGAGCCACAGGGCAGCAAAAGCACGGCCAGATGAGCTCAGCAGCAATGGTAGTGAGCAAAGGGCTTTGGAGACCTAAGCTGGGATGGCCCTTGCCCCACGCAGCGTGTGCCGTGCCCCAGTGGGCAGCCTGAGCCGCAGCACCGCGGCAGCCCTCAGCCCTGCACGAGCACAGGTCTTTTTTAAGGTCACAGAAATAGGAGTGAAGATAAAACAAGACTTGTGCTTTCTAATTGCAGACCTCAGTCAGACCTGCTGAGAGGGAGGCAGCGATACCGGATAAGGGAGGAGGGATAAGGCTGAAGGCTGGCCCCTCGGTAACACTTAATACATGCCCCACATGACACTTAAGAGCAGGAGCATGTGAAATAATCTCCTAAGCTACTGGAAACCCTGCAACTCTCCTCCTCCTCCTTCCTCCCATCCCTCTCCCTGAGAGCATCTCAAAGCCAATGAGGGGCTCTGGGGAAGACCACTGAAGAGACTCAATGGTGCCAAAAAAACACTCCACAGAGGAAAGCGAGCTCAAATGTTAACAAAACTCATTTTAGCCATGACCCCCCAGGGAGCAGGCAGGACAGGGTAGGCAGCAGGGCAGCTGCCCAAGGGAGAAAACCTGCTGTCTTCCCTTGGGCCAAATCCCCAGTGAATCACAGGGTCAAGAATGAGGATTTAGCCCAGGGAACCCAGCTCTGACTCAAACCCCAAGATGGCCTTGATTTCCGAGCCAGGGTCCTGAGACCTTTAGGCTGTACTTAACTGACAGCTGCAGGGAGAAGGGAGAGAGAGAAGAGCATAAAAGGGGGAAGGAAAGAGCAAAAGAAGGGCACAAGGCAATGAGAAACTAGGTGGAGGCAATACTTTTCCCAGGTCATAGCAGCTCAGGAATAAAGGCCCAGCTGTAACTCGGTTTCTAAAGCCTGTGCTTGCTCAGGGTTCACTGGGGACACATCAGGCACTGAGGTGAGAAAATAGAGCTGACGTTTAATCTCAGGCCCTCTTAGCAAGAGTTGTGTCAAAGCAGGAAAACAGATTCCTGCATCCTTCCGCCTCCCCAGAGTCCCTGCAGAGTGGGGAGAAAGAACGGGGTAAAAATAACCTACCTGTTGCCGGTCCCAAGTCCAGGCTGGAGTCATTGAGCTCTCCTCCATCTTCCCAGAAGTACTGTGGGGGCTGTAAGATCTTGGACTCCTCATTCTCCTCACTGGCAAAGCCTGATCCCGGGGCAGCATGCAGAGAGCCAGGGGCAAGATCAGGCTCCGCAGCCTCTGGGCTGGTTTGCTCATGGGAATTCATGGCCTCCAGGTGGGACATCATGGCAAACTCCAGCAGGGAAGTGGACGTGAGGCCATCGGCAGTTGGCTCCTCCGAAGAGGCAAGGCAGAGGCACAAGGTCCCTGTATAATGACAGTAAATGCATATCAGATATAGGATGGACACCCACCGGGCTTGTCTTCTCCTTGCAGCCTGCTCCTGCCACCCAACCCACACCTGCCTTTGGGGTAACCTGTCCGCAGATGGGCTGTGCTCCTGTCTGAGGAGGAAAATCAGGCCATTTTGGGAAACATCCTCAATCACACAAAGCAGCATTCACGTCCAGGAAGATGTGAATCCGGGAGCCCATGCCAAGCAGCCATCTAGTCTGGGGCATCTTTCTTCAATGGGGCAGCAATGGCTCACCCTCTCTGAGGTCTTGTGCTTCTTTGAAAGGATGGGGTCCCTTGTTAATCACCCATCGTGGAGACGAGGTGGAATGTCTTATACTTAATCCATGAAATTTTGGACACATGAAGTCAATGAAAGTTTCCTATCCAGCTGTCACACCCAAGCATGATTTCACCCTATCTGCAGTTATATTACATGTAGGGGAACTGATGTAAACCAAAATTATTTACATCACCAATGTTAACTGTATTTTAAATCAGCAGGCTGGAAATCTATTTTTAAGTCATTGATTTTAACTTCATTTTTCATTCACTTTTTTTTTTTTTCATAAGGAAGGGCTGTCACAGGTAAGAATTAAAATGTACACAGAGCAAACATCTACTTAATGCTAAGCAGGGAGGCAGGTTGCATTTTACACTTTTCTTTCAACAATTATAGCCTTGTTATTTCCATTTTATATATTAGAAGGTTTGACTGACACTTCTTGATTCCTAGATGAGACTTTAATTGTGATTTGTGTCAAGGTACATTCACATGCATATTGAACCTCAATCAAAATGCAAGAAAACAGCACCTGGAACTTGGCTTTATTCAACCGATAAATACCATGATAAATATGGAGACATAAGGAAAAAATGAAATTACCAAAACATGTTTTACATTTAAAACAGTTTTGTTAAGCAAGCGAAGTATCTAATTTGGGTGAACTGAACCAATTGCTTCCTTGCTCTCTGTTCTTCAGCACATTAAAATGAGAAGATCTCATCTCTCACAGCTGATTTTTATTCACAGATTAGAAGAAAAAAGGACAAGTTTTCCCGCTTTCTCAGCTCATACTCAGTTTCTCAATTCTTAATGAACTAGTCACTGAACTGAACTAATTGAATAAGCTGAAATGAAGACTAATTTGGTATTTTTCTTTGATAACTGATTTTCTAGACAAGAGAGATGCAGCAGATCTAATCCATCTGGACTTCAGTAAAATATCTGATACAGTGTCTCATGCAGAATTACAAGAGAAGCAAGAGAAGACACCCAGTAGCAGGAAAACTGTAAGGCAACTGTAAGGCATTGGCTATATGAAAAATGACAGAAGCTTGTGCTGGAGGGAGGTTATCAGTGGAATTCCTCAAGGTCTGTCCTTGGATCTGCTCCTCTTTAGCATTTTCCTAAGTGACCTTGGAACAAAAATTAGGAACATAATAATGAAATTAGCCAAGGACATAAAGCAAGGAGATATTCTCACTGCACATCAAGACTGTAGGTACAATCAGGTGATCTTGAGAATGGAAATAACAAAAATATTATAAAAAGAAATAGTACAAAGTGATAAGTCACCACTATGAGAACCAGCACCAAATATTTCTGAGACGAGATAGGAAACCATCCATTAGAAATGTCTTAAGAGGAGAAACGCCTGTATTAGAAACAGCTCTGAGATATCACTGGAATGCAGATGTGAAAATGCTTGCACAGTTCTGAAGTATTAGAAATAGAGAGATTTTACAAAGCACTGCTGAGACATCACCTGGATGCTGCACGCAGATCTGGATACACGTGGCCTGAAATGATTTAAGCAGAGCTGAACTGCCTTCAGGCAAGGGCACAGACCAGGTAACCTCCCGAGGCTCCTTTCTACAAAATGTCCTACGACTCCACATCCCAGAAGGACAAATTCAGATCAGAGCAAGTGCCAAGACAAGCTATGGGGCAAAGGTAGATGGGTTGGCCCTGTTTTTTTCACTGAAAACATTGGCTTGTTAGCACAAAAAGTTTGGGAATCGCTGCCCACTTGCCACGCTGATTACCAAACCTGTCCTGGGAACGTTAGAAGCTAGAAATGCATTTCTCAAGCCTTCTGCCTGCTCTAACCCTCTCCACCTTCCTCCGCTATTCTCTGAACTGAGCAAAATCCAATATTGGTTACTCTTTCCCATATACACTTGGGCCAGGCTTCAGCACTTCTCAATCTCGTTTATTTTGTTCTATTGATCCAAGACAAGACCGGCTGAGGCCAGCGCAGCAACAAAAAGGGAACAGCAATGGAGGCAGAGTATTGAAGGGGATGGAAGCTACTGCAGCATCACGGAGCCAACCAAAGCGCCTCTGGGCATCCCTGGGGATGGGCCGGCTCCCTGCAAGCTGTGCATGGACAGGGAAGGCTGCACACCTCTTGTGCGGGAGCACAGATCCACAGAGACCTGGCCCGGCCAGCCCCTGTGCCAACTCAGTGGTGCTCACCAGTCTCCAACGCGATGGTGCCCGGGTTGGGCTTCCCCAGGCTCGGGAAGACACCTGCATCACTGACAGAGAGAGCTGTGGAGCCCCGTGCAACCCCGAGGGGACAGGAACTTGTCTTGAGGAGCTTATAGCATAAGCGAACATGACAGAGAGCAGTGAGGGGCAGAAAGGGAATGTTATTCTCAAAGTTACCAAGAAAAGGGGAGCAGAAGGACCACAGCAGGTCCAAGACCGCATGGAAAACCTGATGCAGTTGGGACTGCTGGATCCTGACTACTGCTGCTCTTTATCCACCCCAATGCCTCAGTTTACCCCGACTCCCCTTAGCAGAGATGTGGCTGACGTGCCACTCTGGCTTTCCAGCCATGCCAGAATGCACATCCCAGGTCTCCCAGACAGTTAGGCAAAGCCTCAAATGTAACTCGGTGCCAGCTCTAAAGGCTGGTTCAAGCCCCTCAGCCTCCATCAGCTACAGCCCATTTGGGCTGCCTCCAAAGCTTAGTCAGTCCCACCATCTCTACAACAGGCATCTCATGGCAGGTGAACCTAATCCCATCCACGCGGGAAGCTCAGACCCTGGGAGTTTGTTTACCCTCATTTAACTCTGAAGTGTTTACCCAGTTAAAACCCCCTAAGCTGCATTATCATGTTTACTGGGAAGCTCTGCTCTCCTCAGCCCAAGATAAAACTATACCACCTCATCCCTAAGAGTGAGTCATTAATAGACACAGCCTGAACAAGCCAGTTTTCTCCTGGGATGGATCTGGAGGACGACAATACCTTGGGGCCCGATTCACAGGCACGAGATGCTGAGTCCAGCCTGGGGCAAAACCCTCTGTGCCAGCACCAGCCCAAATGCCACCGGGCTAATGGCACCTTTGCACCAGTACAAATTGGTACCTCCCCAGACAGCATCCGGACACCGCTTCATACCTTTTGCACCAGCAGCAAAACCCCAAAGGCTTGGGGTGCCAAACAGCACACCCAAGATTTGCCACCTTCCCCCTCTCTTCCAAGCATCTCACAAAGGAGCTCAATGCAGCTGTCAATTCGGAGGCAAAGAAAGAATCAAAGCAGGAGCTGAGCTGGGAGGCAAGGGAGAACAGCCAAGAGAGGAAATCTAATGCCCAAGACATCGGTGGCTAGCCGTTTTCCTCCTAGGATGGGGAACGGGGATCAGACGACTTCTATCAGCCATCATTCCCTCAATTTTGTATTCTAAAAGGCAGATCAAGTGATAGGAATAAAGAAACACAAATGAATAAAGCCCTGCGACTGTAGATGGGAGGGAGCAGGGAACGGAGCCAGGGCTCGCCAGCTGCTTCAATGGGGCGTTTGTCTCTCATTTCTATTTTTGCAGCACCTCTGCGTAACCTGGAGGAGATGAGGCTCTGCATGCTAAAGAGGGCAGCCAGCCTTCGGGGAAACAGCAGGGCTGCAAGCACGGGAAGGAAAACCCTCCCCAGATCAGACAGAGGAGGGTTGAGAAAGGAGAGAAAGTGGGAGAGGTAGATGGAGGGGGGAGAGGGAACAAAGGCGGAGAGAGAGCTGCCTGCGAGCTCTCCCACTGCTAGCACCCACAAAGGTGACACGTGGAGGAAACGCTGACCTTGCAAAAGATGCTTCACCTCTGCAAGGAGCAGCATGGGGTGATTTCAACAACAGGGGGATAATACTGCAGTGTTACCTTTCCAAGGCCGCTGGAAAAGAGCTAGCCAGAAGGATACACAGATGAAATGAGTTTGCTAGTTGCTGACCCCACTGGACCCTCAGAAAACGGTTCCAAGTTGCTCTGTTCAGCTCAGCAGAGGATTCGATATAACAGCCCCGGACAAGGCAGATGGGAGAGTTTTGCTCAAGAGCAGAAAAAAAAAAATATCTGAGAAAAGAACATCTGCCATCTCTCTCCCAAACTGCTGTGAGTAAGAGCAGTTTGACATTTCTAAACAATTCAAAAAGAACCCCAACGTATTTTCTGCATTGTCCAACCAAGAACCACTTTATCCCTTTGCCACAAGGCAAGCCACCCCTCCACAAGAGAAGACAACTGTTTAAAAGCCCCCAGTTGGCCTAGTGAAGGAAATAAGTCATTTCTGTATCCAGCTGAAACAAGAGGAGGGATTTGGGGAGATGAAATGGAACCTGGCTGTGACTGTATCAAAACAGCCTTTAAAATGTTCTTGCTTTCTAATTAACAACAAGCAAACCTCAATTTTCTCTCCAAGGAAACACACAAACACCCCTTAAGATGTCATCACATTGGCTTGACCTATAGCAGCGCTGGTGTGTCCTTCATTTTACCCAGCTGAAGGCTGGCATTTCCTCTCCTTCCCGGGTGCTGTGACTGCATCACCCCCCCAGGGAGGCAGGATCAGCCGGCTGAAGGGAAGAGGACTCGCCTGGAGCACACGCTCTGACTCACCTGCCTTTCACCACCAACAACCAGCAGAGCCTCTACAACACCAGTCACACAATGGGTACTGGGGAGGGG